GACGTAGCAACGGGCAGTAGCCGAAGCAACCTCTTTAGATTTCAGTCTCTCGTTTTGATTGGCCACTCAAACTCGCGTGCCAGTCATCTGCAAGATCGTATGATGCTTGCCGTCGGTCGTCGCTATAGATCTTTCGCAATCCTGGCGGAGAAGCGGTGAGTCATTCTTTGACAGAGAACCTGTGAAACCTACCAACCAGGTTAGATTTTCTGAGGCTGCTCCAAACCGTGAAGTTAAGCGTCAACATGTTGTTGACGCTGTCCCTCTTCTCCCAGGTTTCAAGAGGCGCAGCAGCAGATTGCTGATTTTATGATGGAGTGGGTGGGACCTGGCGTACGGGTGGAGCGCAGTAGGTTGCGCGACCTTGCCCACGATGCCATTATCAGAGACACGGGGCTCCTCGACTACCTACTCAAGGCAAGCAAACGCCTCCACGGTCTTTTAATAATTCTCTTTGTGACCTTACATTCCCAACCCGTCAGCTGGAACATTAATCTGGAACATTGATCTGGAACATTGATATGCCTGTGTCCTTCGTACGCCCGACGAGCTCATGCATCGGCGCATTTGAGACGGGCGAAAGCGACAGCTTGTGAAACAACAGATCCTGAGCACCAGCTCAATCTCTATGAAAAATTCTCCTTGGTCTGTTTCGAGTCCTTTAAACACCCACGTCGGAACGAAAACTTAGTTCGTGCGGTGTGAGGATACACATGCATTGCTACTAACGACTTTTCTACAGACAACACGGAAGAGTTGGGCGGTTGAATCTACTTCAGACGGCGAAGATGCGACAGCCACAAGCCACGGTTTCCCATTCGCTGCAGGTTTGCACCGGAATCCTTTTTGACTGCCACTGATGTTTCTGTCGAACCTTGCAGCACCTGGAGGGCTGCACGATCATCAGCTACGACCGCCTTTTCCGCTTCTTCCGTGGGAAGAATCTGGCGTCGCACGTGGTCTGCTGGCTGCAGGAAGAACGTTAGAGCGGAGGAAGAACGATAGAGCGGGGGAGCAGCTATCATCAGGGTAAGGCTGTATTATTGTCGCCGAAGTCTTTCCCTGTTCTAAAGGTTGTCCAGCTAGGAGATGCACCAAGTCGAGAAGCTCTCCATCGTCATCGAGCGCAGTGGCGCTTCTTTCTCGGAAGTCGCTAAAAGAACGGCAACCCATGGCAACCCAGTGATTAACCGTTTTCCTCCCGGCGATTCGGTTTCACCGATCAAACCGTCAAGTCGTGCAACAGCACCGACATTCTCTGTCTATCTATGATATTTTCTGCCGACGGCGGGGGGCCTGGTTATGAGCATTTCGATGAACCTGACTTTCAAAGGAGCGCCTTGGTTTTAAAAAGAATACGAGCGCCGAAATTTCTCTCTCTTGGGACGCTCTGCTAAGCCTAAATTTGTCTCTTTCTCGGCCAGGTACCTAAATATACGGCGGGACGTTCAATCTTGTACATCGTGGCGCCTTGTACATTTGCCAGCGACTTTTAACCTGGAAGAACTTTGGAAATGCTTCTAAACGATAGAAAGGATTGCGGCGACCGTAGCGGCGGTGTCCAAAGGCAGTCTAAAAAGTCGGGCATAGTTGCAGATATGCATAGACTTTGTGCACCATGACACGGAATCACGTGCTTGTCCATATTATTTCTCGACGTTTGCCTCGGAAGCATGCCAGGTCCGGAACGATGTTCTTTGCATGGATTTTGAAGGATCCGAAGTATTATGCTTCATATGCTCTATAATTTCTCGTCCAAATGCATTTGCTAATCTATATAGCCCACTAAGTCCCGTACGAACCCCCCAGGGGGAGACGTCTGGGGGAGATGTTCTCCCCCCTGGCTCAATATAGGGGGAGATGTTCTCCCCCTGCTCGATATAGGGGGAGACATTCTCCCGCACCGGAGAAGAATCTAGTCTCCCCCCCCGAGGGGGAGAGAGGGGGGGGGAGAAGGGTGGGGAGAAAGCCAATCCTCCTGTGAGCTACGAATCCCATGCCCAATACCGTTCTGGACGACGACTACGATGGCGTGGCCTGACTTTGTGGACGATCCGTCGCTCTTTTCCAATCTGCCGGATATTGTCTCGAGGATATCAAGGACTGGCTACGACCAATCAACTACGAGGCAGACTTCATTTAGACGTGAGCAGTCGTCATGTCGCCTGCCAGTACGAACCATTCAATGATTCCTCCCCCCCTTTGTGTTTCTGATGCGGCGACTCCCCGGGGCATCGGATTCGGCTGAATGATGCTGATTGCGTCCTCCATAAGTACAGATTTGAGAGCGCCCGACGCCTGTACCATAGGGATGTTATGTAGATCAGGAGACTTGCTTGCCAGCGTGTAAGATATACATCTTTGATGCTAGTCCTGTTAAAGTCATGTTGCGAGGTGCTTCGAAGTTACAGCGTCGACCCGATTTGCCTGAGACAAAGTAGGAATGGGCATACTTTTGGATAGTTAAACATGCTTGCCAGTCGCGGGATCCAGTCCAGAATGAGAACGTTCTGACTGTTCCGACCAGTTGTAAGAACGTAAGTAGCTTTGTAAACAATATTTAAAAATGACGTTGAGTCAGTCAGAAATGCCGCCAGTTGCTGCCGTTCTTCTCACGTCTGATCGAAGCACCTAATGATAGCGTGTTTCAGTGGCTAACTCCCCGCCTCTCATGACAAAGCTGCTGGCACCCCACACAACTAGCGAAAGGCTCTAGCTCGATAAATCATAAGTTTGGTTATAAACTCTTTGATATGTGAATCCGGTCTCGGCGGCCTTCGATCATCGTCGTCACGTAGCATGCATGCTTGGCCATATTCACACCTGTTGACACATACGTGTAAAATCAGACAAAACCGTGTATTGCACTAATTGATCTTTTGCCACAACTGGCACCGACTCATTTTCATTGTTTTTTATCGTAGCGCGTGTGATTGATCGATCAAACGCTCTTAAGTCTACAGATCATGCATATGTGCATTGCCATGGCATCGATGTCGCTTAAGTTGCGAGCTGATGCAATCGGCCGGGCTTTTGAGACTACCAGTTCATATAACTGGCGCTCTAGCTCAACAGATGTGACCAAGAAAGGTCGCTCAATAATCTCAAGTTTTACCAGTCGTATTGAGTCCTTACCGTGGCACTTGATTGAGCACAGACACATTAGTCGAGTCGCTTTTGCATAAAAGGCGTACTCAACAATCCCGCTCTCACGGTTATGAACGTTAGTGTCCTGAGGCAACTCGACATCCTCCGTCAAGAATCCTGCAGTCCGACTGATTGAATACCCGGCACGCAAATCCTCTGGCAACTGGCAGCCTCTTCTATCTCGTCCCCATGCCTAGACCAAGCGCTGGCCGCTTCTTTTCGCGAAGCTAGCTACTTTAATAACGGCGAGCGCAATGTCTCTGGCGGCGTTTGGCTTGACGGCTGCAAGCGCTCGGCTGCGCATGGTGTCTAAACGTTGCCGGTCGCCTAAAAGACGTTCAACATTTTCAATTAACGAATCCGCCGACAGCTGTCTCTCCTCCATAAGCAGCGCCGCCCCGAATGACTCCATCGCCAGCGCGTTCTTTGTTTGGTGGTCCTGGGCGACGTTTGGAGAGGGGACCTGCGCGTGCAAGAACGAACGACAAGGACGCCCACGTGAGTCGGCGAAGAGCGTAACGAGATACAGGTTCGCAACTGAAATAAGGGTGCTCACGGCCAACACGTACTCTTCACTATCAACTCGCATCAGAAGAATGTTATACTCTTCGTTTTGAGCGGCGTATTTGTATCTGAACGAAGAAGGGAACATCACCGAAGAAAGTGCGACTCGAGGACGCGCGCCACTAGCAAAGCAAGCAAATTGCGAGTGCTCATACGTTTCACTCACACTCTTGAAACAAACCGCTAGAATGAAGAGCTGCCAGTACCTCAGCGGAGCGTCCTTGCTCTTCAGACAAGCTCGACCGCGGATCTGAGCACAGGAAGCGCCTCAATAACCGGGCAATCTGTGACAAGGTTCTTCAGATTGAACGTCTGGATTAGCACACTGACAAACTCACTGCGCGCGAGAATCCTCGAAGAGGAGGCGTGCATAAGAAAAGCGAGACTCACCAGCAGCGACGGAGTCCCGGTAACGAGGAGCTCGCTGCACGTGATTGCGCCCGCTCGCCCGACGACCAGGTCCGCCGCACGGTACGCCAGATCCATGCGATTGACGAAGCTGGAGGGCGGGAGAAAATGTCAGCTCGATGTGACTAGATTCTGTCATAGCGTCCACACGGTGCTTGCGTATCTTACTTCAACATTGACGGAGAGCGAATGCGAAGAGGTCTCGGACCGGCTCGAGGAGAGTCTCCTTGCACCCGGCCGCATAACACCGGCGGTTGCGCCGGATGAGGATCGGTCGAGCCGTTGGATGACGTCATGACTGGGTGATTCGACGGCTTGAGTTATGAAATGAGCACAGAAAGAAGCTGCCCAGCGGCCCCTTGAATAGACTCTGCATTAACGACATGTGTACGAAGGTAGGACACAGCGAGTGTCGGGTACCGGGCTATCAGAAACTGCTGCAGTAGGTGCAACCTGCTCTATGCATTGAATCTTGAGATACATATAGTACATCCGGTGCGATACGCTCACGCCGTGAAACACGGCGGCCACAACATATAAGGTCAACGGGCAGATGGTGTAGACTGCTGGCCACCTCCATCATTTGACCGCCCACGAGAAGCCCCCATGGAAACTCAACTTGTGCACTGCAAAACCAAAACCAAATCCTCTTGCACTTACGTCCCTGCAGCCAGTCTCAGAGAGTTACAGCCAATCTGAAGAACTTACGGCAAAAGCAGGAGGTCCTGCTGCTCTTCCACCGTCTGCGCCAGCTTTTCGTGGTACCGAGGTCCGCACTGCCAGATGATACGGCGCGAGGGCGAGGGGGCCAGGATGCCGGCGGCCGCGCCGCGCTCGAGTGCTGCGTTCAGAGCCGCTGCTCCGAGCGAGCCTGCAAATATGTGCACAGAATTCAGACTTGAACATGGAGTACTGGGGATGCGACAATCCTAAGTTCTTCAAACCGGCACAACCCAACCGATCAGTAAGAAGCGGTTAACTCGTGTTTCGGGGAAAGAGTGGCCGTGCGACAACCCTGCCCGAAGTTCCATTCAAACCGGCACAACTTAATTGATCAGTAAAGAACCGGTCAACGTCCCGATCTCGTTTCTTTGAAGGAGGGGCCGTTTGGCCCTTCCAAACTTCGCCTTTGAGCACAACCGAACCTCGGGGCCGGGATACGAGGTTCGCAGGATGTTCACGACGACCTTAAATGACGGGTGACTGCAAGCACGGCGGTACCAGGTTGGAAGCGAACGAACGTGCAGAATTATCGGCAAATCTTGCTTGTGTCTTCAGCTTGGTTAGGTACTGATGAAGTTGTTCGCTGTGATCGTTTTAAAATCAAGAGATAATACCAACGCGTATTGTATAATCCAAGATCCCGCAGGCAATTTTTTGAAGATCTTACTGATGGCAGAGAAGCTTAGTAATGACCAAAACATGCTTTTGTCGGTCGTTCCGTCTGAATAGGTCGTCGACGAGGAACCGAGACTTCTGTGCCTGTTTTCAATGTGTCAAGTTTTGCTCTCACAAGTCATGCTCTTTCACTCCCCATCCCCACCCGCTGAAGAGCTTCTTTACAAAACTTCCCTTCCAATGCGTCTTTTTAATCAGCTCCATTCAGGGTTTTTCAACCCGATTATGGCTCTGAATGCGACAATGAGTGGCTCCAAAGAGGCGCACCTCCGAGGATGAGAACGACCTGGGCCTCTTCTGCTTCTCGCTCGTCTAGTTGTGGGAAGAACCAGCGGCGGGACTCCGCCCGAGACACGTGTGTAGTGTGCAGTGACGCCCTCGTCGGGTTTCCACCGACTACGCACCTGCCAGCAAAGCAGAGACATCCAGATTCCACGGGCTTTCGTGCCTCTTTGTAAGATCGTTGGAGAAGCATGATGAAACCGTCAGCCAAGCTGATCCAGGGGCTCTCACAGGCACTCAGCGCAAAATGAAGAAGAGTCTGACAGGCGTTACACAGGGTAGATGATAAAGTCGAGAAGTCCGTGCACGAACTACTTGAGTGAGAAGGTGCAAAGTAGAAAAAAAGGCGTTTTCTGTGTGTGCTCACTTGTCTTTGGGGAAGTATTTCCTGGCGGCATCGAACGCCAGGAAGATGGCCGTCGCAAAGAGGCCGAGGAGGCGGTTTGCGAGGCCTGCATACGCGTTCTGCTCCTGAATGACGACCGCCCTCCGCTGAAGGGCGGCTGCCAGACACGTGGGCAGGGACACGTAGCCACCTGGCGCAACAGTACTTCGATATTGAGAAACGGTGCTTCGGTGTCTGAGGTATTTATGAAGATGTGCAAGTGACAAAAAGAGCGGGCTTCTTTGGGTTTTGGCAGGTTGGATTACTGTCTGTTCCTGAGCATGGATCCGACAGACGCTTTGGAGAATAAAAGGCAGCGCAGTTTCGTCGATCCGGACTGCCATGCCACAAGCATAATACCTGTATGCATGGACTTAGATTGTGTTTCTGTTTAGATCTGGTGGACTGATAATAAGCAGGGTTCTAAGAGGGTATTCTGTTTGGCTCTTCGCTACCGCCGTGTGACGGCCAAGCGATTTGCTGAAGAGGAATCAAAGCAGCTTTCTGGACTTGAATTCCTTTGAAGAAAGACATTGCCGACTACTCGACGCCGCATCAGAAATCGATAATCCCCAGCACCCAATATGTAACAACTGAACGTTGTATGATTTGTCCAAGGAAAGAATGACAAAGCTTGTCTTTGGAAAAGTAACTCAAGCAAGTGCATATTGCCAAGCGCAATGGAAATCGGAGAGATTTGCGAGATCCACGGCTTACCAGTGCCTACGACCACGTCTGGCGCTACCCGCTTGACCAGGCGGTAGCACTGCCAGAGGGCTGCTGGTAACCTGCAAGAAAGGCAGGTTGAATATCATCGCGTCAAGATGGTGAGGAAAAATCAATCTTGCTTTGCCCAGCCTTCCCATTAAAAACTAGCTACCCCGCACTGAGTGTCCCTTTTGCGATGAACAGTCTCGCACACTGAACCAAGATTCTGGTCGTAAGGTTCTGAGTCCTCGTGCTGACGAATCCGGCCAATGTTCCTTGATGAAGGTGTGACCTCTTCACGTCAGTGTCATTCATAAAGAGCTGGGGGTCAGAGTTGAGAAACCACAACACTAGCTTCAGTATTCAGGACTCTCCATCCCTTAGAGGATTCCTCGACCCCAACGCTCTTATTGGGCAGCCCCCTTCTCAGCGAAGTCCTTCCATAACCACGTCTCCACGGTGCAGAGTCGTACATGGCCGTTAACGGGAGGCAGTTCCACACACGATACCCCGACGACTCTCTAACGACTCCGCCAGTCAGAATTCTGTATTCTGAGGAATGATTTTTAAACAGATTGACCAAAGCAGAATCACAAATTTGACAACCAACAGATGGCACAGGCTCTCTCAGCCTTACCTGAAGGGAAGCAGAGTGTTTGCTGGGGACCATATCGGCCGCCGCACGCTGACGGCGGGTATGACATGCAATTTGTATCCGGCTGCAGGCACTGCTTTTGCCTCCATCCGCTCGCTGGTCCCCGCAAAGTGGATCTCCGCATTGGGGGCAGCTTGGCGGATCGCATCCGCAATTGCAATTGCGGGATACTGCAGCCAAAAGTGGGGAAGTAAGTGGTCTGCTTCCGCTAACTCGTTGGTGGTGGTTAAAAAGGTGGATACTTTCCAACGAAGTTCCTCTGATTGTGAAAGATCTTCGAAAGAACCATCAAATAACATCGTAATTGGTCACTGAAAGCAGCGAACGTGATTCTACAATTGAAACAGAGCTAGTAAAAGACCTGTTCTCGTTACACCATTCAACCTGGGACCTGCGAGGCCACTGATGCACTGACTGTGTGCCATCCAGTTGTCGGCTTTTGTGTGTCAAGATACAGTTTCTGAACATGGCTTGAGCCTTTAGGACAGGAAACTTGGCCCCATTTGAAGGAATCTCTTTCTCATCTAGACACAAACTTGGACTCTGTTCTTCAGCAGCTTCCATCACAAGCGAACAAGTGCAACGACCTGATAGCATCAAGCAAGACCGAGCAGAGATGATCACTTGTTCCATTCTAGCACGCCGTCACATGAACCACAGAATAAGGAAGCAACAGCATGTACTGAAAGTAGGGTAAATGAGACGGTCCTACCACATGCCCTCCGGTGCCTCCTGCCGCAAACAGCACAGAGAGAGGCTTCTCGTTGTCACTTCCTGAGTTACTTCCTGAGTCTTTTTCATTTTCTAGTGCTCCACATTGGAGATCTGCTCTTCCGTTTGGCGGCTCGTTGTGACTTTCCTTTCTCCAGTGATCTGCTCCTTTGAATGCTGCAGTGATCTTCGCCTTTAGTGCCACTACCCCCCTTCCCCAGCTGTTTCGTCTGCCGCCAATTGCATTAGCGACTCTATTGCGTTTCCAATTTACTAGGGCCCGACCGTTCTGTAGGAAAAAAAAGCTAGAATTTCTTTCCAAGATGATATTTTGGACCCTTATCCTACATATTGAATGTGGAGGCCTCAAGACGATGCCAGTAGACAACTGATATGTGCAGCTTGTATGGGTCCGACAAGCTGTGGTGTCAGTCGGCAAGCTGGTGCCAGCATACAGCTTGCCACAGTGCGGTATCTGTACGAGGGACATCTGCTCAATGTTGAGCTGCGATTCTCCTCGTGGACAATAAAATAAGCCATGCCAGAGCTGCACTTCTCTTGATCAGCTTCTCTTTGCAATTGCAGCAAGGTTCAAGATGAATTTTCAGAAAAGCTGGCTGAGCATTCCGTTCCGCTCCCAGAGCCCGGCTCATTCCCGGAAGGAGTCCGGTCTGGATCGTTCAGGCGGAACACAGGGACCATCGTGGTATGGGTAGTACTGCGGTACGTACTGGAGTCTTGGGTGATCACCTGGGTTACATGATTGCGTGCCGGCGTAGCGTCGCAAAGTGCCAAGTGGCAGCTTCTGAGCAGTCAACGGGCTAGCTAGCCGTTGCGGCGCCCGAATATGCATCATGATTCATGACGTTTTGATCTGAATTTTGACGGGCGTCCCGATGTCCCGCGAGTACTCTGACCCGGACCGACTCTGACTGCTTTGGAGGACAGGCCGTGATGTGATGGAAAGGGCGCACTGCCGCATCAAGGTGCCTTGTAGACGCTGCCCATGGCGTCTTGCGAAAGGGATGAGAGCTCGTCGCATAGTAACTTGCAAGGATACAAAATCCTCCTAGGCTACGAACCAAGCTGAGCCAGTTGCTTGGGTCAAACAGCACGGAGTGATTTAGGTCGCAGAGCAGAAGGGCCCATTGCTTCTCCGGAATGCTGCAAGCTTCTGGTGATTGAAGCAGCCAGCAGGCAGGCCTGGACCCCTGACTTTGTTTCGGTCTCACTCACAGCAGCGGGCGCCCAGACTGATGTCGCCAACGAATTGATTGCTGAGTACTCTTGCTGTGGAGCTTGACGTCCCAGCAATAGACCACTTACTACTGCAAAGACTCCCAACAATTGCTCAAATCATCAAAGCTCAAAAACAAAGCTGGATCATTATATATGCACACGAGCGATGCCACTGCCCCATGTCCTTTAATAAGGAGGGCTCCTCACAGATTCATTCCACAGGTCTCAAGTCATCTAAGCTGCAGCTGATCTGAGTGACCTTTTTATCTGCAGCATTCAACCAGCCTTGAGCTTCCAGCAATTGATCTGAACCCTGAAAACAATTGAAAACATGAGAGCTTCCAAGCTCATCCGGCGAATACTGCCTTGCTGGCAGCTCCCAGTCACTCTTCTCTTGTGCACCGCTATGCTCGTGTCCCTCCCCCCTTTATGGGGTTGTTTTAACGGAGGCTTCCTCGGTGTCAATGGCACGGCCCTGATCTGCCGCAGCACCAACCGGGTACAGCAGCCAAGGGAGCTAGCATTTGCAGTGCACAAGCGTCAGAAGCTAGCAAATAAGACGCCTTATGGGGGGAGCTCTGACGATGCTCTCCTGGGAGAAGCAGAGGCGGACCGCAATCAAAGCTCAGAGACGCCGGTGAACGAAACGCATGCTTTGGATATCGAGTTGGGTGGGGCAGAAGTCACAGAGCACGGGGGTAACAATAGCGGGGGTTCGCATGCATTGCATAATGAAACTAGAGTTGAGACACAGGTGGTCCCCTCTGAGGAAGGAACGAGAGGGGTTGCCGAAAGGGGAACTCCTGAGACTGTAGAAGCTGAGACACAGCAGGCTTGTGCGAACGGGGGGGACACGGACGCTCCGGGCTGTTCGGAAGCGGGCAGTGCCTCGGAAGGCGCAGGGAGCCTGGACGACAAGAATGGGGAAGGGGCAGCGGGTGATGGAGTTCTTCAGGAGGAGTTGCAGAACAAGCTTGGGGATGTGTTGGGCTCAGAGGACGAGAAAGCCCCAGAGATCCGGGACGAGAGACGGAGTGAGGAAGGAACGGGGGAGGTAGGGAAGGAGGAGGGGCCGAAGAGAGAGGCTGTGGGGGGATTGGGAGCGGCAAGTTCTGCGGAGCTTTCTGAGGGAGGGGCACAACCAGTAAGGTGAGGAGGATTTACTCAGAGCAGGGAAAGTTCTGTGGTGGAGGCCTCAGCTTGTTGTTCAGGATCTGAACCGAGTCGTGGTGCTAAAAGGCTAATTGCCTGTTGAGATTGAGGTCTGGTTGTATAAAACCAGGCCAAGAAAGTTCCTTGCGGCACTTTGTCTAACAAGCTCCTTAAACTGGCCACAAGTCGTGATTGAGTCTCTAAGCTCATCTGCTGCGAAAGTAGCCGTCCAATGTTTACGCATGTGCTTAGCCGCTCAAGACCCTTTGACTGACTTCTCAATGTCCCTTTTAGACATGACAGTTGCTTCACAAGTCGAGGGTTGATTGGTAAAGGGTTGACGTGCAGTATGCAGGCCAAGGGACTACGAATTGACCTGGATCAAAAGGGTCAACTATCTGTATCAAAGAGCAGCCACTCTCACTCTTACATCATTCCCGCTCACAAACCCCAATATGTATAGCTGCAGGCCCCGTGAGATTCAGCTCGTGTGACTTTCATCCAATCACATTCGATTGTATCAAGCTTTACAGACCTCCCTTGCTCTATGTAGCGATATTCTGAACTTTCCGCATTGTCCTCCGGACTCATTGTGCACCTGGCAACCTTCCGGCCTACTTCTATTTAGACAGCCTCTCTATACTAGGGTCGGGTCTGCCATCTAACCCCAAATAGCACTCTCAAAAACATTAACCTCTGATTCCTCCGGACCCTGAAGATATTGTCTGCTTTTGCAGGCCCGACCCTAGTTGCCGTTCGGATGAGCTCGTCTACGTGTACGATTTGCCGTCAGAGTTCCACACGGACGTCCTCTCGCTGTCTTGCGCCGGCAGCAGCTTCTGGTCGCAACACCCCCGCAATGCGTGCACCGTGTACGCGCCAGAGCTGGGAGGGATCGGGCCTCGCCTAACTGGAAGCGAAGTTGCGCTTTTGGAAGAGATGGGGAGCCCCGTGAATAGCTGGGCGGATACGGGGCAATTTGCGCTGGAGGTCATGTTTCACCAGGTGAGAACAGAGTGGATCTGAGAATTTTCGACTGAGCGGAAGTGAAAAGAAGAGAATTGTGTGCGTCCTCAACTCAGAGCACGGTTTGCCGGGCATTGCTTTCTCTCCAAACCTCTGCTTTTTGTAGCTCCGGCTCGTTTCAGCATTTAGGTCGACGCATGTTCCTGACTCGTGAACGAGAAGTTCAATTTTATCAGTCTAGAGGAAAGAGTCCGTCGTTTTAGACTGCCAATGAGAAGGGGGGCGGCAGCCCCAGAACTCATGGGCTCTTGGGGGCCCTGACTCAAACGCAGACGGAGTCGCCGAATCTCTGCAAGGATCTGTTGGCGTCTCCGATCAAGAAGTCTTGCGACTGACAATTTTGACGATCTTCGACGCGCCAATGCAATCTGTGTCGAAACAGAAAAGCTTCTTCTCGAGAACGAAGAGAGCTATGAGAACGTGCTTCCAACTTCGCCGTCAGCGGCTTCAGAACGGCAGGCTCTTGCCTCGCAGCTTGCCAAGAATGGTGTCGTTTCTCGGCTAGCTGGTTGTCCCGGATAGGTTCGAAAGACAATGATTCAGTTTACCTTCGAGCTCCTTGTTATCTAACCTTCGATTCCCGTTATTGGCGTGACAGAAAAGCTTGAGTGCGCTTTCAACCGACCACTCCTTCATGCCGATGGGTTCTTTCTTCTCTGACCTTTCGTCAACACGTGATTTCCGCACCCACTTTTGCAGTACATGCGCGACTCGTACCCCTGCCGCACTCTGGACGGCAACGAAGCGGCCGCGTTCTACGTGCCCATTTACACCGGCATGCTGCATCACAATCGGACGCTCCACTGTGATCGCGCCACGTGTCCCGAGTATTCGCCGCTTGGTTTGGTGGGGCGGCTACTGGGCGCCCACCTGAATAAGCTGCCGTATCTCCGGAGGTAAGCTTTAAGACTTGGAGGTCCCGTTTTTTTTAACTCTTTCGCTGCATGAGAATTTTGAAGTAGACCTTCGGGTCGAATCTGAAATTGCATATTGCCGCAGGAGAGTGTTCGTGTAAGGGTACGATCTGCGCTGCAAAAAGCTCTGCCTGAATCTGAATATTTGGACGGATAAGAGGACTGGACGACAGTCCTGATTGACACAGATAACGCAAGTTGATGAACATTGTTACCGGTACTTTGAACGCGCCGGTATTCTTTTAAGTGGACATCCTTCTATGACGGGGCCTTAGTTTTTTTAGCGTACCTGAGACCTCAAAATTTTGCCGCCGGGAGCAGGTTGATTTGCTTGGCCCGCAGATGCCGTTGCGCGCTTCCGTTAACTTGACAGCCGTTTCATGTCGCTTTCAGGAATAAGGGCCGAGATCACATCACGACGATGGGCCACGTGAACTTCGACGGCTTGCAAGACGACACGTGTTGCACCAACGGCCTTCTCAAGACGAAGCACACCAAGAACTTCGTCATCATGGGCATTGAATCGAGCGTCTTTACGGGACCGGAGCGCCAGGTAACGTGATTGCAAACCTGGTCGAGTCTGCTTATTCACACGGTCATGCATACTGGCTACTTTAGTGCTTTGGCATTCGAAGTGTCGAGAAGAGTTAAGTTCCACGTGATGTGCTCTGCGAAACCTGTTTAGCTGTTGGTCACTTCTTAGCGCCTCAGCAGCGGTCCTGCAAACCTCGGTACCCAACGCCAAAGCACCCCTGCAATCCGACGGGTATGTTTTACTCGAGAAGCTTCGCTCGACCTGTTTGAGAGTCGTGAGATTGCTTCTTACTCCTGAACAGGAGATTTGTTCGATTCGCAATCCCTACCGTCATCCTACCCAGAGGTAACCTGCAGTAGGATGTCTTACAAAAACTGCACTTGGAACCCAACAGATGAGGCTGAGCTCGCTTCGGTGGCATCTTTCCAAATGCACTTTCCCCCGCTTTCTGACGAGATGCCCTCCCCTCTCTCAGGTCAGCATCCCCTACCCAACCTGCTTCCACCCCGGCAGCCCGGAGGACATCACCGCCCACCAACAACTCATCCAATCATCCAACCGAACAAACCTGGCGAGTTTCGCCGGGCAGTTGAACCGGGAGGGCCTCCATTGGGGCCGCAACCTGCGGGCGAAAATCGCCGAGCAGTGCGAGCTTCACCCGGGGGACTGCCATCTGGTCGAGTGCGGCATGGAGTGCCCGTGCACGAAAGTCCTCGAAGCCCAGCTCGCGGCGAAGTTCTGCCTGCAGCCCAGCGGGGACAGCCCCACCCGGCGGAGCCTCTTCGACTCGCTGCAGGTGAGGGAATCGCTTTCCGGTTCCGCCGCTTTCCGCTTCCGCCGCTTTCCGTTTTCCGCCTCCTAAGGATCCAGTCGAGGGGCGGAGTCTTGCCTGCAGCCCAGCGGGGACAGCCCCACCCGGCGGAGCCTCTTCGACTCGCTGCAGGTAAGAGACTTGCTTTCCGGTTCCGCCGCTTTCCGTTTTCCGCACTTAGAGGGCGAAGTTCTGCCTGCAGCCGAGCGGGGACAGCCCGACCCGGCGGAGCCTCTTCGACTCGCTGCAGGTCAGATCCCTGACACTGAAGGTTCGGTCAAACTGGCCGCCTGACCCGAATCCCAATCGATCCGGCCGCAGAACTGTTCTCGAGCTGCAAAACGTATGACTTTCGATGAGTGGCATCCAGGTCATCGCAGGGTCCAAGTTCTGCGCTGTGGCCAAACCTTTCGCGTTCGAGGCTCAGATCGGACTCGGGTCAAGCGGCCAGATTTGTCTGAATGTGCAGTAGAATCGGCAAACCGTTTTCGGCTCATGAGAATAACGCCGGTGTCGTCAGACTTGCAGCATTCAGACCTGTAAGGCTAAGGCGAAATGGACCCCTCGGCAACGAGGCTTTTCTTACAGCTCTTCCGAGGTTCCTTGTGTCGAAAGTTGCCTTTAGAAGTTGGGCCTGGCTTGTGAATCAAGTTCAAAGCCTTCTGGCTGGCATGTTCGCGTCTACTCCCCTCATAGTTTCTTCCACCAGGTCATCGCCATCCATTTCTCCTCAAGTACAGCGCCATCGTCGCTTTACATTTGATGGGCTAACGGCTCTATTTATTCGTTGCGACTGCATCTTCTGTTTTAATTTTCCTGTTCTTGCTCGTTTAACCGCTCCGTTGTGATGTTTGTTTTCCCCCGAGGTCGTCATCAAAGCTTCCTGGCAAGGTCGCTTTAGAATGAGACTGATCCAAACGTGTTTGTTGGCAGGCCGGGTGCATCCCAGTGCTCTTCCACCGGGCGTCCGCTTACGACGAGTACACGTCCTTCCTCCCGCAAGACGAGAGCAGCTACTCCGTCTTCATCCCGGAGAATGACGTCATGCAAGGCGGGGTTGACATCATCGAGGAGCTGCGGCGGATCCCGGAGGACGAACTGCAGCGGAAGAGGGATGTCATTGCGAGCATGTTGCCGTCGATCAGCTACGAAGACCACGAGAGAGCGCGCGCACAGGCGCGAAGCGCGGCCGCGGCGCTCGAAAGCGCCGACTCGAAACCTCGAAACCCTCTGGGAGTGGGGAGCGCCTACGAGGTTGCGCTGGCGGAGGCGCTTCGGCGCGTGGAAAGGGCGCTTGAGACTCCCTCGTAAGGTGATCCAAGTTGGAAGTCTATTACCGGTACTTTATATAATACAATAGCCGCTGACTGATAGCACTTAAATAGAGACGGAACTGTGCACTGCGGAGGATCGTTGACTGAAATGGCAATATACCGTTGGATGAGTCAGTCCGGATGCCGCCTGATTTGTCATATAAAGTTCACTGTATCATACGGTTGGCTGGACAGATGTAGCTAGAGGGCCCTAATCACCCTTACGTTCCGCTTCGCATAGGACCAGTGGTATTTAGAGTCGACAGCTATGCAACAATCCGGATACAGCAAAGACCTGGTAAGATCTATACGAGTCCTGAAGGGTCTAGGCGTCGCAGTGTCGTGTTGTTGCGTGCTTTGTCGATTGACTAGTTGAGTCAGCCAAAGACTGTATGGTAGATTTTGCAGGTAGGGCTCAAAAACATACGATATTGCAATGCGGCCTCAGTGCATGGTTCCGCTTTTGATACCCCACCTCATGCCAGACACTGTGGAAAACTCCAACATTCACAGCCAGCTTTTATCACACGGGTCGATTGCAAGCTACACGTTCTGATGATGCGAACTTCCTGTCAGCCCGCCCACTGATGATCACAAGATAGACGAAGTGAAACACAATCAACTTTTTCTTGGACGGTGCCGCGCACCATGATGGAGATGGCAAACGAGCCTGCCAGAAGTCGCGTCGTCCCGTTGATTCCACGTATACAGGGCGGGCCTCTCGATGCATCTCAACAGTGCTCAGATCACATGGCGCGCTCATGGAGCGGGCCTGGGGGACCGCTCATGCAGACGACCTGTTGTGTCCAAGTGTGAGGTCTCCTTCAATACGAACAGATATTAATCAAATGAGTGGACGCCTCAAAATGCCTCATAAACACACGTACGGTAGGCTGCAGAGTGGAAGATTAGCGCCTTCAAACGACCCGTAATGCAACCATACGCAGCACATGACAGTGTTACAAACTGCAAAACAGTGTGTTCGTATAGTCAGTCGACAGGATGTTGTGGCGTTACGCAAAAATGGGAGACACCGGGCCATCTCGCTATGAATCAACGGAATACCGGGATAGGGTGGGAGCAAAGGGCCGCTTCGTGGGCCCCAGCCATGAGACCATATGCAGGGACGTCACAACTCCGGTACCCTTATTGATTGTCGATCCGGTTCAGAGGATTTTGCCCATTGAAGAAAAAGGTTTTGTATGCCATGCGAATTGAGCAGCTTAAAATCAGTGGAAAGTACAACCTGCTCTAGGAAACTGGGGCGGCGATTCCACAGATTGGGCTGTATTTGAAGGAGCAAAATGACGGGCCGCCTGATGCAAGATCTGACTCTTTTATCGCTTGCAAGTTGCAACATTGACCAACAAATTTGATATGGGCAGGTCGGGCCTCGGAAAACAGAGGATTTCTGCCCAACCGGGCACTTGCTACGGATAACTCCCATCTCAATCTAGCTAGAGGCGCCCGGGAGACGGGTGGGGTTAGTTGGGCTGTTAGGGTGGGTTTTGGCCGTGCGGGGCTCGTGCATGAATATTTGGGTTAGGGTTTTGGTTTAAGTACCCAGGTAGCTCGAAGAATTTGGGAGTTTTGTACAATTAAGAGTATTTTGCGTCGGTATTAAGCCTTGTGAGTTGTTAAAGGAAATTAAACACAGAAATCTCAAACCAACAAAATTACTGCTCACAGCCGTGCTTAACCCCCTAAATAACCCCACCCGGTCCCAGTGATTAAAATTTAGTAGAATCGGATTCTGGCCGGTTATAATAGTACTTAGTACTTACCTACTGGCGCAGTGGATCTGGATCATTGTGAGTCTGACGACACATTAATGATTGTTGGGTTCGCCGTAGGGGGCGGTAGGTAGCAGCCTTGGCTCAGGGCTGTACTGGTACCCCAGTTTCATGTTCAGGCCACTGCAATCATTGCAGCGCTCGAACCAAGTCGATCAAACACCAGTATACACAGTACCGTACTGGCAAAGGGCAAACACCAGTACTGGCAGATGTCATATACGTATGCGTTGGTCTTCTTTGACGCTCCAGCGGCCAGCTGCAGATCAAGAATTCCTTTGAGTCGCCACCTCAGATCAGAGTCAGGGCCCTCTTTTCCTTCCACTGTCCAGTTGCTGCGGAAGCTCGCAGCTTCGCCCATTCGCTGAAATCCGTGTACAGACTTTGGTGTTCGCAATCTTTCACTGCAACGCTCGCGCATCTTCAGTGCTTGACAAGTTAAGCACTGCAAGTAAGTCTCCTGCGCGCTGACCCTTTCTTTGACCTTCAACCGGCACTTGCACTGGAGACGCCAGCTGCTTCGAACATTTGAGTACCTGGTCGATCTGGGCAGCTGGTTGATCAGTAGGTCGCGGTGGTCTGAGTTTTGGCGGCTTCTCAGAGGATCTTCTTTTGCGTCTCAGGTAATTGTCTAGTCCCGGCGGCTTGACTTTTACATTCCCCCTAATTTCATATACAGCTTTGCAGATAAGACCTTTGAAAAAAGCCATCTTATTTGGACTGGCCGCGCGGAGTCCTTTATTTGGTTACCATCGTTCATCGCAGGTTGAATCTGACGGTTCCTGGGTTCTCACTCACCTACAAGTGTCTGTTCGTTGATGAAGCCAAGCTGGTTTGGCCTTGGCCTCATTGTTCAGACTGGCTGGTGTTTCTGGGGCGGGCCAATGGGCACCTATACTGATCACTGAAGTTTCAACAACTGAGGCGCATCACATCTGTGAAGCATCTGTGAAGCATCCATCTGTGCACACAATCAATGGTTCTGAGCTTTTCTAACGGATCAATGAATCTTGACTAGTTGTAGGCTTCCATTTGGAAGCATGGAAGCATTTGGCCATCTTGAGTAATTAAATTGAGTTTGATAGTCTAACTTGAGTCTAAAGTCTGCAAGATCACCAGCTCACTCATTTTCACGAGCTAAGAGGAGTAATGCCCTTGAATCATAACTTAAAATCCGGTGTTGTCTAAACGCAATCCATCTGGTTGTGACAGGGCATCTGCTAATCCTGACTGACTTCCATCTCGATCAGGGGCGCAATCACCACGTAGCGGAGCTTCACTCCACAAGTGCATGACAGCTAGGCTGAATGTCAATCTCGATCTTACCAGCAGCTGGCTCGGGAAAAGATAGTCGAAAACGTGCAGAAGTCGCACAGTGGACAGCCGGGCTGGTTTCTGCTGCAAGGTCTCCCTCTTGCGGGCAAAGTCCCCCCTGAAGTTGTGGTGTCACACATGTAGCCTAGAAAGATAGCCCCAACCATTGACACCTGGTTCGCCCGTTGCTTTTGCAGACTCCACCAGGTCACAGTGACGTCACACACGCAACCGTGAAGGGATATGGGTCCCATGGTAACACCGCCGCCCACGTACACGGCAAGCGAGTACCTGGCCAACGACTTTTGGAAGAAGAAGATCTCCTACTTCTTCGACTTTCTCGACGTCGACAAGAATGGCTTCCTCGCGCAGGATGACAAGGACCGCTCGCTTGTGCTGTAAGTTTTACCCGCCGCTTCTTCTAGGCTTGGGTGGTTTTGATAACAGCATTTTACCCGCGTTCAGAAATGTGGTCGTTACAATGGACGGCCCAAGAGAAATTTGAAGAGCTTTCTCCCCGTACCGCCCCCCGTCACGGCAGTTTAGAGCGACACCTTCACAGTAGTAAAACGCAGGACTACAATCCAATCCGTGTTGAAAACCTCAGGAAAGTATCAGAGACCAGGTAAATAGTAGCCTGTTCGGAAAGGCCAACATACGAAGGTGCCCCTCGTTTTGCAGCACTCTCTCCCTAGCCCAGAGCTCTCCTCGATCCTTTCAAAAGAGTTGACTCATAAAAAAGCGCAACATGATTGATAAGTTGATCGCGCTGCCCATTTTTCAAGCAGCGCTTAGTATACGTATTCGGCTCAGACCTGTCTTATGGCAATACTTCCGGCTTGGAAACAGGCCAGACCCACAAGGTGCTGCTTCTCCAACAAACCTCCTTTCCCTCAAAAGAGACAAGGCCTGCAAAAGTGCCCATCTCATCTAGGAACCTCGGTTCATCAGGAGACTGACAGGTGTCTACTTTCATCTGCAGCACTCTAGCCCAGATCAAGAAGCCCCTGACCGAGGCGGATCTGGCCTCCTTCAATATTGGCTACGACGAAGCGTGGACCTTCTACGGCTTCAAGGGGATCCCCCTCAGCAAGAGGGACATGATTCAGCACATGGCGGACAAGTGTGGCACCTCGGGCATCGCGGAGTATCTCGAGAAGATCGGCAATCGCTGGTTCGGCGTGAGTCCCATTGACTCTTGATGTTATTAATCTGTTCAGTTTGTAGAAGTTCTGGCAATTCAAAGTTGGTCAGCAGACCTTGATGGACTGGAAACAGGGTCAGGCCTGCTAACCCTTGACAAAGTCAATCCAGAGTTTTGAGTGACCAAGACCCACGCTTGTTTTGACGCTCTCGTCTCTTCTTGTGAAGTGTGCATTAGCGTGCTCACACGTCCGCCGCGTGGTTCAATTGGTTTCTGGCGAATAGTCGTCAAGTGCACGTTGTGGCTTGAATCTGGAATCGCTGAACCATTGTACATAGCTGTCAATTCTTCATCCTGGTCACGATGGGCGTCCACTCTTTGCCCGAAGTTGGGTTGCTCGGTAACGAGTTTTACCGAGCTACCCATAACCCCAACGCTCATTGTTCATTCTCTAAGAAATATGTAGATCTGCGGGTGGTGCAGTACGTGCCATGCCGATCTCCTCCAATTCTTGAGTTACTCTTCACGATGCCTCGACCGATTCGTGTATACTGGCAAGTCTAGGTTGCATCAACAGGAAATTGCTTCGAGATACATAAGCTCGGGCCCCTCAACTAAGAATCCTAATCCAAAAGATTACGCGCTCCGCACCCGCACCCACCCTAAGCTCCAAAGTAACCCCACCTGTCCCCCGGGAGCTCATCTTGACACAATCGGCCCTTAAAACAATCACGAGAGTTGCCGGAGTGATTTCGTGCAGCTTCTTGACGAAGACGGCGATGAAGAGGTTTCTTGGGTGGAGTTCTGCAACATGCACAAGGGGGCCGGGCGCAATTGGGAGGAGGATGCAAAGCTGTCGTTCGAGGCTATCGACACGGACGGCGATGGCCATATCTCAAAGCAGGAGTGGACGAACATGGTTTGGGGGTTCTTCATGGGGCTCGACCCGACCTCCCCGAGCCGATTCATGTGGAACAACTTTGACAAGCTGCAGGCAACCACCGTGGTACCGGTTTACTAAGCACAAAACGAAGATGGCAGAAGTGCCGGAAAGGATGTTGCTGTAGCGACGTAACGTCGGAAAGTGGGTGTTGGGATTGTTTTGTCGGAAGGTAGAACTGGTTCCGTCGGAAGTCCAATTGTATCATTGAACAGACGCGCCGCAGCGTTTTTGCGAACCATGCTCAACTTGAATTGTAGCCCGCGCGAAATATCAAATTGCGCGCCAGCAGTCCCTCACGTCGGATCGTATGTCGGGTGCGGTAACTCATATGCAGCTCGTCGACTGCGTGCACTGAAGACGCGGATTACGTGATATCGACGGCCAATAGCGTTTTTGGCTAGGAGCAGATTGTTCAAATAAGCTCAGGCCTTCAAGGCTTTTTGCACATTGTACTGATCGAATATAAGCAATATGATCTTCCAAGCAGAGTGCAAGGGAAACAATATATCATGAATTTATCACAAACCATGTTCCGCACGCCCGTCAGAGTTGGTGTAGGCCGAAAACGAAACGAAAGCATTATGATATGTACACTTTCAATATCATATGCTAATACTTATTAAGTCAGTCTTTGATCTTTGACTACCTATCTGGAATCGGAACTTACCACAAGACTCATTTGAGATGCTCAGCGGGCCCTATTCTGAATCCATACTTTAAGAATCTCGAATAACTCTGCATAGTCGTAGCTGCTTTCAAGCGAAGCGGCATCCGACTGTGCCTATCTAACAAGGAGCAGTGAACTTCTTTACATTAGAGACGAACACTCCGGATTGCTGTTTGCTTAACCTTTATACCCCGCATGTGTCATCCCGTATTTGTCAAGTAGATAATGCCCCGCCTTGATCGGGGCGTATCTGCGACGCCAAAGCAGCAACATGTCAGTGCAGAATCTCCATATGATAGGCAGCCGAGAATGAGCTCAAGAGCATCAATACAGAAGCACTCTACACAGGCTCCAGCTCCTGTCTACAAGACGGTCAATGGACCCGAAATCGGGGAAGCAAGTGCCCTTCAATGTGAGCGTTAATCATGGAGCGGACGAAGATTTTGTTGAGGACTAGCAATCAGATGGTTTCAAGCGAGCTTGGCAAGACGAAATGAAAATGAGATGAAAGTGTTACAAGAGAAAGCGATGCGGCGATCTCACTTTGGAGGGTCGTCATCGCTGTAGCACTGGGGCAAGCATTCCACCAGGCAGTCGAAGTTGGGCTCGAAGAAGAATGGAATCTGCACGAGATGGGAGCAAACAAGCCTAGTTCGTCAAAAGACTCATTCAGCCTTGTGACCTGTTTCCATGGTACTTTTCAGCGTTGTGCAGCGATGCAAATATGCACGCGAGGAATCTCTAGAAGAAGTCCCCTCTTACCACACACGCCTCAAAATTTGTACAAGGTAAAAGTCCGCTTGGTTTCCGCTGTTTCTTGAGGGCAGAACCATTCGAGAATAAATATGAATGTGCGTGGCGCTCACCGAATAACGCTCCTGTCCGCGACCTATGACTCGGTGCAGGGTGGACCTGCCAAAAGAAAAGGAGCCCCTCCATTTGAGATGCGGAATAGCGTATAATAGATGCGGCAATCCACTCAAGATGCGGAATAGCGTATGCTTGAGCCGGAACAATCAGACATTCTGCCCGCAACGGCCTTCCATGAACAGCGGTTTTACCATTACGAGGAGATGTGAATTCCCCCTCAACATCAAAAGCGCGCAATGATTACACAGTGCCGCAGATTGGCAGCCAAACCGGCGACGCATCTTTCGGCCGATGCGTAATAAAGGACCAAGGCTCAAACGGCCCGCTCGCCGGTACCAATGTCGACAGACTCTCCTGGGAGGATCTAGACACGAAACATACTCGCGGCTCGTCCAAGCACCTTTAAAAGCAAACCAAGCAGCAACTTTATAACCTTTCATTCCTTCGTTGCGGACCACCGCTCCCATGACCGAGGCCCTTTCTGTGCGGATTCTTAGAGTCCTGTCCCAAATTCCAAATGAGCGAAACAAAAGTCGTCGTTCGAAGGGCAGGCTTTTGAATGCGTCAGCAGCCAGTTGGGACCCTCATGGTATCCCCTGGCTCCAAGCAGCACAGAACTCATCGAACAGAATTGCCAGAATTTAGGCACGCCTCAAACTTGCATTGCGTTCGGTTTCACTGGAGTTGCATCAGTGCCCCAGGCTCGCAAAAATCCTTACTTCGAAGTCACCACAACAAACCGAGCCCACACAACTGCCTAAGCACGCGATTTAGGAGTCAATTGGATGGATTTGGACTGGTTACCTGAAGCGGTCGTTGCTCCACCGCTCCAGCATGTCCCCCAGGTTCACAATAAATGCGCCCGGAACAGGGGGCACGTCGATCCATTGTTGCACCTTGGCGTCCTTCTCAAGACAGATCTGCAGAAATAGTTCCGCTCTAGTTAGCGGCGAGGGGCTTGAAGACGTTCTCCGAGAAGCGTAGTGATCAGCTGAAAGACGCAGGAGTAACGTAAGGTCACGAGCGGACAGTCACTTGCGACTTCGTTACGTAGCTAGGAAATGGGGGCACCCAGGAAATGGGCGCTGCTGTTTTCTGGTCGCCGAAAGGCGACCTAGCACCGACGTCCTTAAGAGAATGCGGCTGCCTCTTCTCTCGGGATTTTGACCAGATACAAGATACTTTTAACCGGGCCCAGCCCGTCTAAGCGGGGCGAGAATTTTGGGCTTGTCTCCTTCGAAACTGGCTCACTTCCCAGGGAGTCGAAGTTCCCACTACCGCTCTTTGCTCAGGGTCAAATATCGGAACGCATACATGGTCAATGTGGACTGGCTCTTACCTGGAGGCCCGGGACGTCGTCCGTCTTGAGCAACGTCAGCATGCCGTAATCGCTGTGGGCGCCGGCGCCGAAGATGCCATCCTCGGGCGCAGACGGCTCGGCTGCAACACAGACATTGTGGAGGTCTGATGGGGATCGAAATGCCCGCATGAAGGGGAATCTTGGTCACAAGTTGCAGGGTGTAAGGTAGCAGAGCCGACCACTCAGGCCGCAGGAAGTACGCTACTGGAAACGTTGCATCAAGCAACGGCCGCCCGAAACTCGATAACCAACGAGGAATCTGTCGGCGATTCTGGGATTGGCCTGCAGCCTCGTTTTCTTCCCCACGACCGGTCAGGGCCGATTATTGCGAAGGTCCTCCCTTTAATTGATGTCCTATGTACTGAGTAGGCGACCTTTCCTCCAAAGGAAAACCTGCTGATAAGGTGCAGCGATTGGGAAAACCGGATGACATTTAGAATACGCCTCTGTGGCTCCCTTGAGCTACTCAAAGTACTAACCAGCTCTGAGGGACAACCCTCTTTTGCCCAGGACTGAAGCTCACCGTTGTAGTGCAGAGGTCGAAGGAATACGGACGGCTTGTCGAACATGCCCGGGCGGTCAAAGAAGCCGTCCGGCAGTCCGAGCGCCAGGCCGATGAGGCGCGTCAGCCGGAGGGCAAGCGCAGTCATGGCCGCCATGTACCTTTCCATAGTTGGCCGCCAGAGAGGGAGAACGTCTGCATTTGATTTGAGAGTACCCGGGCCCTGTGATCGGTATTCGAGAAGATATTTATACGGCTTTCACACTCATGACGACTGCGGCTACTATACGTGCATCAACTACGCAGCAGAGAGTCACACTTGAGGAGACCACTGGGTCGCAGGGAAACCTCCAATCGCAGTCAAGCGAAGATCCACCTTACGTATGCGTCTTACACATGCAAACACCTTCCGAAAGGGATACAACAATTTCTCAAACTCGGTCTCAGAAACCACACAAGTTTTCCCTCACCTGGATCTGGCCACACGTTTGGGCCACATAACGGTGTGCTTGCGTCTGGGTGATCCAGAGGGACTTCTCGCCCGATGTAGTACCCTTCCTTGGTGTCCCCCTTCTTCTGCCGCGTCACATCGAGCGTTTCCTCCTCAAACGGGGTGTAACCTCGGTTGTTTGAGTCTTGCAGGTACTTCATCTTCTCAGCCTGCATCAGAATCAGTTGGATGGAAAAAGATCTAGGTCTGAGTTGCAAGATTATGGGTCAGTGTCATATCAAAAGGACGAAAATTAAGCACAAAACGTGACAGTATACTGCTCAATATTTGTGGACAATGACAGGACCCTAATCAAGCCTCGTAATGCAAACTCTATCTTCTCATGAGAATTGCAGCCGAGTTGATGCAAGACCTACTTGCTGGTCAATTCAACCCCGAAGTCAGGCCAAAGAGTAGAAGACCTGAGCCTGCAACTCGTCTCTCAAAAAGACCCTCAGAGGAGCAAGACCTCACCTCTGGCAAGCTGAAAAAGAGGCGGCACTGCTCAAAAGTTGCCTGCACGAGGCCTTCGTCAACTCCATGATCAGCGACGTAGAAGAACCCGGACTTGACACAAGCCTGCGCGGAAAGTTTGCCCTGTCATCGTGAAGGCCAGTTAGCGAGAGCCCCCTCCGTCTGAAAACATGGCATTGGCGGGAAGAAGATGTTCCATCAAGCAACTCGTTCACATGTGTATTTACCAAGGAAATGCAGAATTGCTCACGAAGACATCAAGTCCTGAGGATAGTTTGGGTGATCTATCTTAAGTAAGGGGGGTAGGAAAAATAAGCGGGAGGGCTGTACAGGGGCTGTGAGTTACCCAGCCACTGCAGTAGAGTTTGTTTGACTAAAGGCCAGAGAGCGGAGACTTAAGAACCTGCCTGCTGTCTGTCAGTTGGATTGTCCGCTTGGCTTCTAATTCTTCAATGTCAACTCAATCAACGGTGCTTCAGGGTCCTTCAAATGGGCCAAGCTGTTGAGTACAAAAAGCACAGGACGGCAAGCTTCAAATTCAATCGTCTCTTCCTTTCAATATACCGAAGACAGCACATGTTTCCCCCGGCTTTCCTTGCTTCCCCTCACCTCCTTGATAGCTGCTGCGATACGGCTCTGATCTTGCCCACCAGAGAGGCTGATGACAGGGACTTCCGAGGGCGAGGGCGCTTGGAAGGAAGGCATCTCAAAAGGTGCTGAGCAGCGCAATGCTGCAACCAACTTACATTTCCCTCAGCTAGTATTACACTCTCTCCAAGTCTGACTCTCGATCAGCAGCTGCTCCCAATTGCCAAGCATGGTGTGTAGATCCAGTTTCGAGTGCTGCAGATTTTGATTAAACAAGCAATTTCTTCGTTTGTATGCAGCACCGGAGAGGCTATAGACGCCGTGGACATACCGTCTTTCCTGAGGCTGCAGGCTAGGAAGGACTTGCTGCTGAAAACTCTATGGACATCGGAAAAGGCAGAACCGGCTTATGCCGTCGGCTGCCAGCCGTTCGGTCACGCAACGCTTATATTACTCGGGTTTAGGCAATATAAGTGCTCTAGTTTCGGCCCTTAGTTCTTCCCTCTGCTCCTGAAATTGAATGGTGGGGGAAAGCAGGAAGCGTTTTCAGATGCTGCTGAAGCACGAAAGGGGCGCCAAGGGAACACAGCTACCAGTTTCTCTGCTCCATACAAACGTTCTTTCATACCTTGGGATGCTGCGCTGCACACACTGCAGCCTTGCGGTCAACAGTTTGGAAGGGCGGCTGTTGTTGAACTTGAGCGGACGATTGGAAGGAAAGCTTGTGACAGTGCTCCGGCCCCTGGGACTCTGGGAGAGGAATCAAGCTCTTGGTTGAAATTGCACGAGGAGAGTGGTGAAGATTGCAATTGGAGCGCTTCAGGGCACCTTGATACTGGCAGTCGCAAGACTCACATTAATGTGGCCTTCTTGGCTGCCTAGTATTTGCAATGCTCAAAAGGGCTACACCTGCTTTAAGCTTCCATTCTTTGAATGCTAATGGAGTGAAAGTCCAAGAGAAACATTTTCATCAGATAACTGTGAGTTGCTTTGTCGATCCCACCCAGCACGGCTTCAAAATCTATACCGGGCTCGTGTGTGTGTGAACTTCAAAATCTGGCATAGACCACAACATGCAGTGGTGACCAGCAGTTTGTGGCCCAATGTCTCAGTTTTCCAGATGTGAAGCAGAGAGTTAAGCCCTCAGGATGCAATGGGACACTGTGAATGAGGTGGAGCGCAAGTCACAAGCAGAAAAAGATGAGGGCCGCGGTGTCCTGGGGCCTGGAGAGCGCTACTGCCACACACTCAACCTGGTGTCCTTAGGGGGGGAGAGATGGGTGTTTGCTGTCGGGGGCACAAACTGCGCACGGAAGCAGGTGGTTGGAGTCTGCAAATATGACACCGGTGAGTCAATGTGATCTTCTACTATGTGAAAAACAGATCGTTCCATAGAATGCGGCGATTCAGATGTGTACTCATTTTGAGCGATAGTGTTGCTGCCCTCACGACAGGACAGACCGCTCATTTAGAAACAGAAAACATTTTCTCGAGACGAGAGAGCCTGGGCATGTGGCCTGCCGTAGAAAGACAGGAGACTTGAGGACAGCAACACTACTGCTGGTCAAACTTGCTGTACTGCGTCTCCCCTTGTCGAAGCTCCCGCAGTAGCCGTTCAACAAGCGTATAGGGAGCATGTCAAGCAAGCTTACCGCCTCTCTCGCTATATCATTGTTTGCACTATAGTTCTACGTGGAACTGCGGCTCCTGTTCTTCTTAGTTAAAGTAGCTGCCGGAACCGGCTGAACGGTAAAGGGGAGAATATGCCGTCGAAAAGTAAACATGTTGTATTATGAGGAAAGACAGAAGATGAACTGTTTGCAGGCCGGGAGCTGTGGAAACGCCCCAAGCTGTCGGGGCCGCAGCCACCGCCCCGCGAGAGCCACACTTGCACCACTGTTGGTCACAAGCTGTTCGTCTTTGGTGGCCGCAACTCAGAGGCCACTTTGGGGGATCTGCACATCTTAGACACGGGTAAGGAAAACGAAACCGCATCCGCAACGACCACAAAGTAGCGTCGGGCCGCCTAGTCTCGCAAACATCCTGAGCAGGAAGAAGACGCTTAGGAGATCCGTGGGCTGACTGATGGTGGGGTTCTTTTTTCTCATCGACACAAGATCTACAACAAGTATCAGTTCAAATTCGGAGATAGGGCAGAATCAAGAGTAGGCCAGTGCGTATATGGTTTCTGCGTTCACTAAAGGGTCAGAAGGTTGAGTGGAGGCTTCCTGAACGAGCGGCTGTTGCAGGCTATGCCTAAGAATGCACATCCGTTCTTCAATTTCTTAATTGGCCGAACCTGGGAGTTAGAATAAACAATAGCAAGTTTGTCAACATGTCGCGGCATTGCCTTCAACATCTGAACCTACTTCAGTAAACGGTGGAACCTCAGCCAGTCGATGAGTTTGATAAGTTTGAAGATGAACGTACATTCGTTCTTCGGAGCTGGTCGCAGCAGTTGAGGGCTTCTGTCAAAAGCTGAGGACGTCATCTCTCTATGACCATATCTCAACCCAACTTTCGTCAGGCTTCACATTTTGCCCAATTGGTTAGGAGCGCAAGTCGAAATTACATCTGCATAACAAATGAGTACCAAAAGTGCCTTCAGAAGTCCGATAATAAGAAACGGACTATTCTGTCCTCTGCAGATGCCAACCAGTGGATCACACCCGAGACCACAGGCGACGCCCCCTGCCCCAGAGAAGGCCACGCGGCCGTCTCTGTAGACCAATTGGTGTATGTGTTTGGGGGCTGTAGAAGAGCCGACAAAGAGAACGAGGACGACCTCTACTTCGATGACGTCTATCGGCTCGAAACAGGTAAAGAGAAGGTTTCTGCTACTTGGGACTACCTTCTAGGTGCGTAGGTAGTGTTGTTTCAAGAACACTGCACTTCCTGTATTGACGATTTGATGAGCAGTCATTTGCGGAGAGGAAGGAGAGATGTCAAGCGGTTGAGAAAAGGAGGTCTCAAAGAAGCTTTCGGTCTTGACCATTTTCGTACCCGGCTTCTCAAGGTGGCTCTCTCTTTTTCAATAGCGCACTGCAATTGGCATATCGCAACTCCCTCTCTTAACGAAAGCCGATGATCATGTGTTGTCCTGTCAAAGAAGATTTCAAACTCACTCGCTCCTGAACAAAGCCCAACTAGTGCGCAAACCAGTGACCTGAGAATTTTGGAAGCCCAGTTCCGCCACGTACATACGATCTCAAGCCCAATCGCCGCTCCTTTGCAGAGACTCTGACGTGGCAGAAGCTCGAGACGTCCGGAGGGCGACCATCTGCCCGGACTGGCCACAGCATGGTCGCCTGGGACTCGTCTCTCATCGTGTTTGGCGGTCAGGATGCGGACGATCAACCCCTGAACGACATTTTCGCTCTAGATACAGGCGAGCCTGGTTTCTCGCACATTCCGCGTGTTTGTAATTTCACGAACTGTACACGGTGTGTTGTAGCGCCCCCCCCAGACTAGAGACTCTGATGCTGTTTGTGACGGCGGGGGAGGAATATCGCAGGATATTTGTGGTCGTTCGAGGCTTCTCGCTGGTGGTCTCGAGCAGACGGCCGTAAGTTGTTCAATAATTGGGCACTTGTTTCCTTAGAGGAAGACCCCACAGCTTTCCGCATAATCACCTGAAAGGCCAGCGTCGAAGGAGTGGGTTCGTTGCACTGGTGTCGATACTGGATCAGAAACCAGCTTGGCTTCCCCTTATCGTTCTCCATCGCTTTCGTGGCGCCACCTTTCCGTTTCTTTTGCAACGTCCGAACTCCTACCTTCTGTGTGCGTTCAAAAGCTCAGTTCTTTCTCCATTGATACGGCCTTTTCAATTCTACACTCATGCCCTTCTCAATGTCCTATATTTGTCTCTGAATCACGACTTCGCAAACAAGTCGTCTTATCGCAACCTTTCGTTTTCAGAGATGCTCGTATGGACGAAACTGCAGCCACGTGGCGAGCTGCCGGCGCCCCGCGCCGGCCACGTGAGCGCTCTCGTTGGCAGCCAGCTCATCATCTTCGGCGGGGTGGACAAAGGGGAACGGAAGCTGTTAAACGATATATGTGTCCTCGATCTCGGTGAGTGTCGTGCTGTCATTTATCTTCTCCCGCTAGTGCGGCAAAGGTGACAATGAAATCTACGTTCCTTTATGATGGTGAGGCTTTCTTGCAGCTTTTCTTCCTTCCGTTGTTCCGTTCATGGGCGGCGCCCTCCATAAGTTACGTCCCTGGTATACGCATTGGATCTTTGGTCACTTTGTTAGTGCCTAGTCTGCTTGGCAAATGCCTCGCAGAAGTCCGCTGCAAAAAGCTTGCCCAAGAGCGAGGGGGCTCACAAATGAGTCGGCGGCCGCAACTGAACCGATCTTCGGGAATAGGCCTTAAGCCAGACGAGACAGCAGACAGCACACAGGCCGTAGTACGTTTTGTTATTGCTACGCCGATGAAGAGCAGTAGCCCTAACATTCCTATCAAGCGGGTAGGACTGACAGGGTTCGCTCACTTGGACAACTAGACAGAGGCGTTTTTGGACAAGCGGCTTTCAGGCAGCGTGTTGCACTTGTTTTCATTGTGACGAGATGCGCAACTTCTCTGTCATAAGCGTGGCCTCATAAAACGTGACCACGGATTAAGACTCGTGAGCCCAAACCCAGAATGCATTTTGCCCCAATTTCCCTTTCGCGCTGAAGTCCGCTTCAAAGGTTTCGGATTTGACGACTACAGAGACTTCTAAAGAGACTGCCGGCGATATGCCGGATGAAGGTGGGGATGAACAAAAAGCGCGAAAAGCGACTTCCGCTAGGGAGTGAGTGGAAAGCAAGAAGTAGAAGTTTTAGCAACGCCAACCTAGCTCATGCAGATACTTTGGTGTGGCGGCGCCAGGCCGCCCGGGGCGCCTTCCCCCGGCACCGCTTCTCTGCCGCGTCGGCCCTGGTGGACGCCCGGGGGGGCGACCTGCTCATCTACGGGGGCTGCGACGAGGAACTCGCGCCCACCAGCGGCTTCTTTGTGCTGCTCACAGGTGAGCGCGCGTTTTACTTTTGCAAGCTGAGCTTTGGCTCCAATCTGAACAGACGTGGAAGTATGTCTTGTCTGCTCCCGCAAGGCCCTTCTAAACGTCGTTGCTCTTGCTCAACTTGCAAACCTAGGTCAAAAGTAGGGATGCTTGAAGGGGTGATCTACAATCGAGATTCAAAAAGGGTCTGATAACGGTGGGCATACGGTGAGCGTAAAGTCTGTGTGCGTGGAGCGGACAACTGACCACAAGGATCGTGGTCGGAGAGTATCAGACTTGCAGAAAAAGCTTGTAGGGAGATGTAAAAAGAATCTCGCATAAGAATTTTGAAAGAGAACATTTTGGAATGGAAATTTGGAGGTACGTCGAAGGCGTCTGCGTCAACCGCAAGGTTGTAAAACAAACAGTCCCAGATACGCCTGCGGGCTTCCTTTTCTTGAGTTGCAAGCGAAGGTGGCATCGCGATTCCTTTGACGAGGAGAGAAGCCGTTGCAAATCGGACACTACACTCTATTCCTGTCACTTTACATCGTGAGTGCCAGTAATGTGTCCACACTGCCTTATCACATTTCTGCACAGGTCTTGGCCAGTCTGGGCCCGACGTAAAGTGGCTCTCCAAACACATGCCACGTGGAGCGTCCCGCCAAGCGGTAGACGACGGTTGTTCCCGCTCATCGTGCATCCATTTGTCAATGAAGGCACTCTATGTCCGTTCGTTCTTGCTGATTCCCTTTCATCCTCGTCCAGGTCTTGGCCAGTGTGGCCCTGACGGAAAGGGGCTTGCTAAAGAAAGGCCGAGCCCATTGCCCCCACCATTGCGCCCGGCCAATCGGCGGAACACAGTCATCTCCGCTCATCGTTCCGTCAATTCCAAATAAATGAAAGTCTATATCTCTCCCTTCTCGCTCATGCCTTCTCACCCATCGCCAGGTCTCGGCCAGTCTGGCCCCGACGTAAAGCGGCTCGCCAAACACACGCCACGCGGGCTGCCCCCACCATCGTGCCCCGCCAAGCGGCACAGAAAGGTCGTCTTCGCTCATTGTACATCCATGTGTCATGGAAGTCACTCTATTGCCGTTCGTTTCTTGCTGATGCGCTTTCATTCCTGCAGGTCTCGGCCAGTCTGGGCCCGATGTAAAGCGGCTCGCCAAACACACGCTGCGCGTGCCGCCTCCGCCATTGCGCCCCGCCAAGCGGCGGAAGACGGTCATCTCCACTCCTCGTTCCGTCACTTGCGAATGAACGAAATTCTATATCTTTCCCTTCTCGCTCATGCCTTCTCGCTTATGGCCAGGTCTCGGCCAGTCAGGCCCCGACGTAAAGCGGCTCGCCAAGCACACGCCGCGCGCGCCGGCCCCACCATTGCGTCCCGCCAAGCGACGGAAGACGGTCATCTCCAGTTTTAGCGGGCAAACCGCCCGGGTCGACACGGAGACCGCCGCGCGCTACTTCGAGGCGGTGTCGAGGATCGCGGACCAACTAGGCATGGAAGCTCTGTCTACGGAGCAAGAACGAGCGGGAGGGGGTTCTGCGGCCGGTGGGGCGCGGGAGACGGGCGAAGGCTCTTTGCCAAGGGTGTTTCCTGCCGGGGAACTAGGGGCGGGAGAAAGACTTATGGACCCTTTTCTGGGTGGAGGACTAGAGCGGAGAGAAAACGGCGGAGGGGGGGTGTCTCGCCAAGAGGGAAACGAAGGGGAAAGGGAGGAAGGGGAACGGTTTGAAAATGATGGTCACATCAGAGAAGTGCAGAAACGGGCGTCGGAGAAGAATGACGGAAGCTGTCCGGGGGAGAAGCGAAGTACGGTTCCAGATCGGGGGTCAGAAGTGATAAACGCAAATGGGACGAGAGGGGAAAGTCTACATGTCATGAGTCTAGGAGTCAAACCTTCAAATCAAGGTCGGTCGGAAGCGCGTGAGGGGGTGTCCAGGAACGGCTGCACGGGACTCCCGCCGGGTGAAAAAGGTGAAAAAAGACCTCCGGGCACGGTTCGGGGGGGTGGAAAGACACTGGTTTCGGCGGGGGTGCAGACAATCTACTCCGCGAGGGAGCTTCACTACCGGCCGACGGGGCTGGTGCGCGCGAAGAAACTGGTGCCCGTTCGTAGGGGGACGAAAGCAACAGCAAACGGTGGGCCTCAGGGCGACCCACCAGCCCGTATGGAAGGAGTTGTGTCGCCCGAAATTGCGGGTGCTCAAGTACGAGTTGCTAGTACGGAAGAAGGAACAGGGCGGAGGGAGAACGGGAGAACGGGAACGGGAAACGGGATAAGGGAAACGGAAGGGACTCCTTCAAAAAGTTGTCATGCTCCTCGAGAGGAGTCGTTGCGATCTGTGGGCTTATGTGGAGTCGCGACTAGTGCGGCCACACCTGTCGAGAACGGAAATAGAGTAGGTTTGGCGATCGATAGCCACGCCGAGAGAGACGAAGGACAGTCAGCAGCGCAAGAGGGGCTAAGCAATAACTACGGCATCAGTCGGGTCGAAGAAACTGCCGCCCCTGCCAACGAAATCAATGAAAGAGATTCGCTAACCCCGGGTTTAGGTCCGGCCAGCCTTTTACCGCCTAACCGAGAAAGACCAGTGCTGCCAACACCTCCACAGTCAACGGTGCTAACCCTGACCCCACCAGAAAGCGGTGTGAGAAACCCCCTCCTGAGTAGAGAGCCCGGCCCAGCAGCGGCTGCCGGGCCGCATTTACAGCATTGTCCTTCTGACCTCTCTGCTAACTCAAGCGATCTTCCTAAACCCGGTGTAACTGGTTCCGTTCCCGACCTCGGAAGAGCAGAAGCTGCGTATTCACACCGAGAAACCGCCCCCAGTCCCACCCCGCACGCCGCTCCTGCCGGCCCGCAATACCCAGACGACAGGCCCCCCGCGCCGGACCCCCTCCAGCCCGCCGCTGACGTCAGCAATGACCACCTTGACTGCCACGCGTCTCACCTAGACAGCTCCAGAGTTTTTGGGTGCGCAGAGGCTGCGCCGCCGCGGGAACGCAGAGAAGCTGCCGAAGGGGCCTATCCTCGTGCGGAGGCGGCCCCCCATGATCGTGCGGACGGGGCTGGTAAGTTAAGCCCTTTTCTCGTTTTGAGGATTGTTGCAGTCGTTATACCGGGACTCGGTTCCGCCTGCATCTGCCCTCTCCTTCGCTCGATTTTGGTAAATAGGATGTCCGCAACTTTTCTTGTAGACTTCTGCTTTATGATGCTGCTCGGCCGCCACATCCGAACATCTTTCCGGCTTGCTATTGGCTTTGAATTTCCTCAAATTGGCGGTATGCGCTGGTCGTGAGCGTGTTCCTGTTCTCTACTGGGCCTATAATGTCAAATACTCTTCAAATAAGAAAAAGCCTGCTATTTAAGCTACCACTCTGATCCCTGCCGATCCTTTGATAGTTTGCTGGCGCTTCAGGCGCTGATTTTAGTGGATTAATGGGTAGCCCTTAGTATCTCAAGGTTACACGCTTTTTCCTCCTACTGGGGCATATAACGTCACACACTCTTCCAAGATCAGAAAAAGCCTGGTATCCAGATTTCGGCCCTCCATTGACTGCTAATCCAGCTACCACTTTGATCTCAGCCGTTCCCTAGATCGTTTGCTTCGCTTCAGGCGCTTATTTCGCTGACATTACGGGTGGCCCTAGTATCCCAAGGAAACACGTTTTTCACCCATTTGCACAGAGATCGTTGCGGGGGAAAGATTCGGCGGATGGGCCCTCATCAAGGTCCCGGAGATCAAGGAGGAGCCGCCCAAGGAGACCATTGACATCAAGGTGACGTCAGCGCTCAAAAACTACTTTCAGCGCTTCTGAAAACGATCTAGCTTCTGCGAGAAGAGGGCGTACCGCGCGTGTGCTTTCGCACGGTTTGAGAAGCAGCAACTTGGTTCGTACCAATCAACGATCTCCACCTCGGCGGTATGGGTTTTACAACTTGGTTCCAGTTCCGTTTGCTAGTTGCGGTTTACACTCGCCCAGAGCTTTAATGAGGATTGCAGGCGTCAGCGAGCCGTCTCTAAGGGCTGAGAACGCGTCTGCGTGTGCCGTTGCAAAACGCCATTCAAGGACACTTTGCAAAGAGGCGTTTGGCGTCACCTGTGCGATCTTGTATGTATCTTCGTAGTCTCGAGAGAGCCCTTATGCGAGATTGACGCCTCATGAAAGATCCACCATCACGAGGAGCTATCACCACTCTTTTCATTGAATTGCAAAGAGTCTTGATGATATCAACGGCCGAACTCCTTCCTTCTTGCTGGTCCCATAAAGAAACCTTTCAACGCTCTCGTCGTTTCCCTCAACCGAGAAGGCCGCCCACTTCTTCACTTTCTCAAACTCTGTACTCGAAAATCCATCCCTATTCTCGTATGCAACCACAGCGACTACATTTCAGAACGCGTCGGAGCAAACAAACGAATCGCAAAACCGCTTGTTGCAGATCGGAGACTTGCTCCACACCGCCTTCTCGATGTCGGCAGCAGTGATCTCACCATCTGGACAAGAAAAGTATGTCCGATGGACATCAACTCAGAAAATCAAATTCCTAGGCGCGAACACACAAATTTTGCAAATCTGCGAGTGCAGATCGAGGACCTGCTCCAGACGGGCTTCTCGATCTCGGCGGCGGTGGGCGGCCAGCAGCTGCGCGGATTCCTGTACAGCAGCAACCCCAAGTTTCTGGCGATTGCCCAGGTGCTCGCCCTCAAGAAGAGGGCCGAGGACCAGCAAGCAGCCGCGATCGCAGCAGCGGTAAGCAACCTGAACCCTGTTGTAGGATTGAATTCAAGGCGTTGGCTCAAAGTGCCTGCTACTTGTTTGATCGAGTTCTGTTTTCACTTTTGGGGTTTAAAAACGTCAATGGGTTCAGAAGCCAGGCCTTGGCGCGTGTTAGCCTGCTGGCTTCTCTCGTCGAGTTTTCCTGCCAACATCATTTAGGAAGTCCTCGTTCTGAATTCCCGGCTACGTCGGTACTTCGGCGGGCTACTGTGCTCTACGTTAAGAATCCCCACGATGCAACTGAAGTCCGCGTTGATTTGAGATGAGTCGCAACTTGGAGTGTCGAAGTAGGAGAGGGCTCTTGGCAGCGCGACAGGAACACAGCTGACGTGGTAGCGTTCGTATATCCACGTGATCAAGTTAGCCACCATTTTTCATTTCTCGCTGCTTTGCGAACCGTTATGGAAAGTCAGCTTGACACCCTCTGCAACAAGTGTCCCAAAAGTAGCGCCCCGTCCAAAATTCCGGCAGTTGGTTTCCAGAATTTTTCCAGTCGTTGTCACGATCTCAGTCCGGGAGCTCAATGGGGCGTCCGCTAACAATCTCGACTTCACATCGGCAGGAACGGAAGGCCGCGCGAATTCTGGAAAAGAAGGCCAAGGAGGAGCGGAAACTAGAGGCGGCGCGCGCAGCTCAGGAGGCGCTGCGAATCGCAGCCGAAGCTCGCGCGGAAAAAGCGGCCCTACGGAAAAAGTCGCCGCCGGTTACCTCAAACCCAAACCCGCTCGCAGTTGTGCCAGTTGACCAAGGTGATCGGGTTCACTTACCGGTCGACCAGCCAGTTGACCCAGCGGTTGAGATCCCGGTTTTACCAAACCCATCGTCAACATGTCCTGCAAGAAACGACGGGTTTAGTCCTCCGGTTAAGGTTTTGAGCCCGGTTGGTGGGCGGAAGGGGCGGAAAAGAGAGCCGGGTGCGAAGAAGGGGCGCACGCGGGCACGGCCGCAGACGGGGCGGGGTTATCTGGCTAATTATCCCCCTAATCTGCACATGCAGATGCAGATGCCGGTGGTCATGCACCAACCCATGCCGGTGGTTATGCGGCCCCCGATGGGTTTACCTGGGCATCCGTCGGAGAGCGCTATCGCGCCAGGTGGGGAGCAAGTAGCGGTAGAGAATATCTGCCCGCCAATCGACAGTCACGGGACAGAGGCAAACGCGATTAACCAGGCCGTTGAGGACGCAGGGGCCGAGATGGGACCCGTGGCAGAGGGTGAGATGGAACACGTGGCGGTCGAGGAAGGGATGGATATTGCCGCAGAAAGCGGGCATGCCGGGCAGGAAATTATGCTGTACGAGGAGCCGGTTATGGATCAGTTTGCTCCGGGCTTGGACCCCGACCGCGAGCATTTAGAAGCTCCGTTTGTGGAGGGATCCCCCGGCGAGCTAGCAACCGGGCAGCAGCTGCTAGGAGAAGAGCACCCCGATCCGACCGGTGAATATTCCGCCGACCTAAGCGCTCTTTACCCGTCCGAAGCGCCGCCATACGAAGCGGTACCCGGAACATATGCGGACGCTGGAGCAGCGTACGGGCACCAGCAGGGTTACGAACCGGGTCAAGTCGTAACCGGGGCGATCTACCACCAGGACGGCCAACCGGCCTACGCTCAAGGGCACGTGGTGTACGAGCACCCCCCGACCGCGTACTATGCGCACGACCCGTACTACGGTACGTACCAGGTCGCGGAGGGGTATCAACCGGGACACGTACCTTATCACCCGCAGTATGCGACGCCCGAGTACCAGCATGGCTACCTGGCGCACGACCCGTATGGACAGATGGCTCCGGTTATGCACCCGGTTGGAGCATACGGAATGCAGGTGAGTTCTGCATAGGTCTGGTTGGTTTTCTGCTTAGTGTCCTTCTCACCCACGTGCTTTGACCACACGGGCGCCCTATAGACCCCATCTCAATTCGGAAGGATCTGCAAGCTTGGAGCAATCTGTAGCCGTTATCGATCTGGTATCCTCTTGAGGCTCTCTTTCTCCAAGCCCGGTCTTTCTCAAATTTCCACCAAGTTTCAGTTGACAGCTTGTTTAGATGCTCGAAACAGTGCTTGCTGAGTTGATGAAGGGTTTGAGCAGACGCGTGTCGAAGGTGACGTCATCGGCGCTTGAGTCCTTCCGTTTTGTCGTCTGCACTTGGGCAGGCACCCAAAAGCGATAGATTACATGATTGCACAGTTGCTTGTACAAGCCCCTTGCAAGGATGGCCCGGTGTATGACCGAAGATCCGCTTATGGTGCAGGCTCCCCCGATTCACTACGGCGCCCCCGTTTACGGCCCCGTCCAGCCAGCGACCGCTTCCGCCATCGACCCAACCCACGTCACGTACCAGCAGCAAATGTATAACATGCAAGTGTACGGGACCCCGTATGATCCCAGCCATTGGTCTGCTCCGCCTGCTCAATAAATCGGATGTGCCGCATAAGCGGATTGCTGAGCACGAGAGCTTTTAGCAGATGCGCTTGTTACAAATGCGAAAGTTGGTTTTGCTAGAAAGAAAAGATAGAAAATATGCCAAGGGCTGATAGTAAATTCGTTGAGGCTGTGTTTGGACGCGGAAAAGTATTATTGGCACGTTCCAAGCATTCATTCAATGTGAAGGTGCATCCGGTTTGCATGCAGATTCTAGAGTTGAATCCGTTGATCCTCCACATGACCGTGCAAAAACAATTTTGTTCCTCGTCGTATGCAAGTATTGGCAACTCGCAAAATTAAGCGGAATTAAACTCAGAGCTTCTAGCTCGTCGGACGTGCATATTCAATACGGTCCATTGAGTATATCCGATCCATGTTGAACGAATGGCGTCTGCGCGTAAGGAATGCATGCTCATACATATATTCAGGTCCGCAGGGGCACCATGAGTGTTTCGTATAAAGTGGAGTTTTTATGCGGGCCGTGCACGCAGCTGCAACCAAGTTGCTTAAACACCTCCGCCGGTACGTTCCCGCCACCTCACACGTGACTTCATAGTCGAACCTACTTTGCACTTCGTATTTCGACGTACGTACTTGCATGGACGCAGTTCGTTAATTGAAGTTATGATAGCATGATTGGTCGGACACGACGATCTAATGGAGGATCGACCGTCTGTGTCTGCGTGCTAAAGACCAAACTTAGGCGCCAAAGTCCCGATCGACTTAACTTGCAAGTTGCCAACTTGAGCAGCGCGTTGGTCAGACTGCCCCCGCGACATGCCTTGCAGGTGCTTCAATCTGCATGCAACCTAGCGGCTATACAGGCAGCCGCACTGCGGTCTTGCCAGTCATTTGCGAAATCTGCAGTTCTTAATCCCACTTGCACCTGTCTCGATTTCTACATCAACAAGCTGCGAACCCCTGCATGACGCGTGTATACTTGTCGAATGTTTACGCAAGGTCGACATGAGGGACTTGGAGTGCATTTGTAGTAGCGCAGTATCACTGTAGAGATTGGCAGTACGTATAGCGTATGGTGCAGGACCCTGAGCGCCATCTTTCCCATTTGGCAAGTAAGATAGTGCCATATTAGAGAGCAACGCCTCCCAGCATGTAGGACAGTCCGCTAGCTAAGCAGACCGTACCGCTCTTAAGCATCGTTAGAACCCGTTTCATTCATGTTTAAGGTTTCCGACGTTCGCTCTTAAATTACGCGTTTTCAGTACATTCCGACCTAGAAAACCGGACAATTCAAGCACATTCGCCCCTGATTCCATCATGCGCGTTGAGAGCGGCGGCGCTCCTAAAGCGCCTCTGTTTTCAGTGCGCTGCCGATCTGGATGGAGAATGAGTTTAAGACTGGGATCGCCCTTAAAGCGGACGCTCTTAGTTCGTGTCCGGATTTCGTGTCCGGTTTTCAGTACTTCCAATTGGGGTTCTGAGATTTACATATCCCGTGAGTAAGGTTCGCTGCTTTGATGGATCGGCCGCGCCGCGGTTTTGCCACGTGGCCGTCATGTTCTGGGGCCATGGGAATGGCCGAACGGCGCCCACTCGCACTGGGCCTCGCGAAGCGCTTCGGAGGGTGTTGAATAGAAGGAAAAGGCACCAAAGTCCGTGGCGGTATTCTAGCTTTGCTCAAAATGCTGGGCAATACTAGGGGGTGGAGCACTTTTGAATCGTAGAGACATTGTCACATGATTCGTTTCGATCACAACGCGAAAGGTCGGTCAAGTATAAGAATCGTTGTCAATCAGCCTTGGTTATGTACAAAGGTAGCGTCAATAAACTGTGTTTCAAATCCAGGTGACGGTAACCCAACTTCTACCGTCCTGCAACGTGCGTCCGGTCGCACGAAAGGGACCTCGAAGTCCAAGCCGCTGACGCCCCCTGCACACAAGTGCCATGCAATGCATTCGCCCAGTCGGAATCTAGCTACTTACATGAGCTGGGTTCCAAGCCAAACCTATGGAGCTTATACAACTTTCTATCTCTGGGCGGTACTGATACGCTATCAGTTGGGCCACACGATCGGGCTGCCGTTGAAGAGCCAGTTGGCGCTGGGGTCCGCCAAGTGTTTGGTGTGGTTTGTGATGGGACCCTCGCCGGTTTCCAGGTACTGCCAGAGGAAACCGATAAAGGAGACCATGGCCAGGCGCCCATTCTTCAGCTCCTGTAGTACAGATCACAAAAAGGGTTTGCGCCTCGGCTAACGGGTTGTTTAACCAGCACTCAAACAGTAGGTACTGCCAGAGGAAACCGATAAAGGAGACCATGGCCAGGCGCCCATTCTTCAGCTCCTGTAGTACAGATCACAGGAAGGGTTTGCGCCTCGGTTAACGGGTTGTTTAAACAGCACTCAACTAGTCGGGTATGGCAGAAGGGCATCTAACCCATGCCGAATCAGGCTTCGTTATGTGCAGTTGTCCGTTGTGAGATAGAAGAACGATGAAAGCTGTTGAGTCGTGATCACCCTACATCCAAAAAAAGAGTCTGCTCCCGAGATGAGAGCATCTCTTTTGAACGGAAACGGCGTCTCAAGTTCATCTATCAGCGAAAGGCCATCCAAGAATATCTACCAGCGAAAGGCATCCTTGATCAACCAGGTTTCGAACTCCTGACCTGTGGACGGCTGACATTATCACTCCACCGGCACACGGGACTATAAGAACTATCGACAAAGATAACGATCACAACTTTCTACGGTACCATTATGAGCATTTGGGGCACTCTTGTTGGCTCGGCTTGGCTTCAGTCAGGAAGTGCAAAGGAGGCGGTTCCGTTCCGTTGTGGTTTTGCAATGGGCGACACCTACCTTCCTTCTCGCTAGAGGAGACAGGCGAGTCGAAGAACTGGAAGAGAGAGCAGAAGTGGCAAGCGAAAAGGAAGAAAAGAGAAGACGAACAGGAAGTGGCCGAGTGAGGAGAAAAGAAAGGAAGGCTGAAGTGGAAAAGAAAGAAGCGCGGGATTGCACCGCGCTATTACTCCCAATCTGAGATCATTGCCGAGGCTGTGTCAGTCTCAAACAATCCGGCTTTCGAGATCACGATGGCCTTACACAAAGGTTCAGACAAAAACGGTCTGAAAAGCTGAGTTGCTTAAGATAAGACCTCAGCAGCGATCTTAAAGCGGGCAGTCAATCAACGTACTGGAGAGGATGTAGTAACCCGGCTTTGACCTTGTTCCGGGGCTGGTTAAAGCGCAAGTCTGGTTGCTGGACATATAAGCAGTCTCTGACCAGCTATAAACAGCCCCTAACCATCCATGGTTAAGTGCCAAAATCTCCTGTGTTTCCGAGCCTCACCTTGGTCCGCAGCTCGTTGACCTCCTCCTCAGTCTTGTCCTCCAGGAAGCCCAGCGGGTCGAAGCCCGGGTACACGAAGCTGCTGACGTCATCGTAGCTCTCGTAGCCGATCCTGACCTCAGCATTCAGCCGGATGCACTCGCACGCGCCGATCACCAGGAGGAAGGCGAGCCCGAGGCCGCTGGTGGGAATCTGCGGGGCAGAAACGGAATCAAGGTTTAAAGGTTGCCGGCGGGTTCTGTGTGCTGCAGTCAGTGTATCGCCTCTGCGGATATCGCTTGCGTATCTGATTAGATTGCGTCCTTTGATGTCAGCTCGTTCGCTTTCGGAGGAGACATCAGGAGGTATACTGCAAGATTGAGAGACACGGAGAAACTGCAGAAATTCTGTCCGAAAGCTCCGTGTCTCTCAGGAAGGAGCACTATAAACGGCTACGTCATGACCACGATCTGCTAGAGCGACCTGGTCTTGAAAGATTAGTCTCCGTTGTTTCGAACCCAGGTATTAATTGCTCTATTCAGAATCAATTTGGTCTGAAAAAGAACCCCGATCCGGAGCAAAAACCCAGAATACCGGATTGAGGCCACGCTGTTTTCAGAATTCCAGACAAAGAAGATGAACGTCCTAACGTCGCGGTACAGACGGTCTGTTTGATCACCATAGCCACAAGCAGGGAGGTCAACCGACTCCCGATTGAACAGAGATGAAAGAGACAGCACGTGTTCGCCTATGCGTGCCCTAGCATGGGCGCAGAATCAGAAGTGAGAAGAGACGACGACTCTCCTTCCCAGGGAACGTCCAGCGACTTCCCGTCGACCAGAATGAGAACGGAGGGGAATGCGAAGCACGTGCACTTTTCTGCACCGCAGTCAGAAACAAAACGCGAATGAAGGGGCGTAGGCAAGTGAAGGGGCATAGGCAAGTGAAGGGGCATAGGCAAGTAAAGGGGCATAGGCAAGTGAAGGGGCATAGGCAAGCGAAGGGGCATAGGCAAGTAAAGGGGCATAGGCAAGTCACCCCGACAGGCTCCAGGCCAAGAACTGGCCCTCCAAGCCAGGCGCTGGACCTGGCAAGGTCGCCGAAGTTGCCCTTCCCCAGGAGGTCGGGGACAAGCGCCCCCAGGCATGCCAGCATCGCCCACCGGCCGTTGAGGACCTCCCCCTCGATGACCCGGTTGCGGACGCCCTCCTCCACCGCAATGTTCAGGGGGTCAAAGCCGCGGTCGCTGCAGGACACGAGCGGCAGAATATGTTCGTTGTAAGGGGACGGAGTCTTCGTTCAGTGACAAGGCCCACGAGGTTTTTGTTAGTACATGGGGGACGAAGCCTAGAGTGCCATGGCCGAAATGCAATTGCGGGTTAGCCGCTGTTAGGGTATATAGCTGGACACCGAAGGTTCGGAAAGTGTCTGCAGACCATGAGGGTTCTTGACAAAGAGGTGAAAAGCTGGCATGGATGGTTCTGAAGGGTAGCAATTGGAATTGAGGCGAGAGTTTAAGCAGATCTTTGTACGTGTAAGATCGTTTGTTCGTGTATGACTGTTGAACTTTAGAGTTCAGTGAACGTTGCCTGAATCCATTTCCCCAGCAGGTATGTCAAGGGCATGCCTCATCATTCTGGTGAGTAGTTTCTCCAGAATTCGCTGTACTTGAGACTCAAAAGCGAGTTTCGTGCTTTCAGCAAAGGCTACTTTCCGGAGGCCAGCGCACTTGAGTCTTTTGTGTCCACAGTGTGATGACAAACTGATCCTCAGTATTGCAACACCTAACACTAGGAGGGGGAAAACCGCTTATTTAAACAAGATAGTGTGAGAAACAGACCAGGGAACAAGAAACAAGAGACGAGAAACAAGAGACGAGGAACAACAAAACAGAGACAAAGAAACGTGTCTGAACGCACCCAGGAAGAAAGCCATCAAGATGGGCGGGGCGCTCAAAGCCTGGGATCCAGACGGCGTCGGCGTTTTCAGCGGCGATCTTGCGCCTCGAGCCCACAGTCTTTCTGACGCCGCTCGCGGTCTTGGAGCCCCCTGCGGTCATGCGGATGCGGCCGGTGGACACGCAGGATTGGGGGGCAAGGCGGCACCCGGCTAGCGCAGTCCTGCAAAGTTGTGAAGATTCAGCTTGAGAAGCGTGAAAAACTTCTTGACAGAGAAATGCGATTGCATGACCAATACTCGGCCAGCTGGCTGGTAGCTTTGCACCCGAATCGTACTGTATTCGACACATTGACCCTTCAGCAAACGATCAGCCCGAAAAGTCTGGTAGGAACTGGAATGTCGAGGTGTGGCTGGCACGCCAGAATGGAGAGCTTAAAAAAGGGCGGTTCCATGTACTGTTGCTTCAAAAGTTTTGACACATTGAGAAGGACGACTAGTAGCCTACCAGTAAAGCAAGCTTGACAGCTGCTAGGACATTCTTAACTCCGAAGCAGGCCCATTCTCAAGTTTTGGAGATGGATCAGCACTCTACTTGGGAGCGCAATTCTGGTCGAATGAGTGAAACTGAGCTGGATAAAAGTCGCTCATGAGCTGATTCATATAGTGATACACTGCGCACGGCCAGCTGCAGAATACCACGGCCGGAGACGCCGGTGCTAGCTGCCACTTTCCTGATCAAGCAGACTGCACGGGTCAAGAAGTTCGAGCAGTACAGCAAAACAGGCGTGCCCCGTGTTCAATGATGCAATGACGTCACTCATGACTGGCCGGTCAGCCCTAAGAGTTTCACAAAATCAGTTTCACAAAAACGCCCCAGTACTCTCACCTCAGTTGGGGCTGGTTCACCACAGCAGAGCCTGCTCCCCGGGTGATCATGACGCCGCTGATGGGAATTGCGCGGGCGCTGCTTGCCGCCATGATTGGTGGCGCTGTGGGGCGGCGGTATAAACGGGCTGAACCGGAAGGGAGCAGTGCAGCTGCTGAAAGCGGGTTGCAAGTGGCAGCTACTACAAGCAACTTGGAAATCTGTCAGCTCTGAGCGCTTGCACAGTCAAAGTTTGTAGAAACGGCGCAAAATTTGCGTTTGTGAGCCAAACCTGCAAAGCTAACCGGGAGCTGAATTACTCGAAAACGGACCTAAACCGGAGGCGCGCTGCCGCCAGCCGCAGGAAAGGAGGTTAGTGCAGTACTGCCCAGCTCGGGGCGACGTACTCGGGGTGATGTAACTCGGACTCTGCCAATCACAATGTCGAGAATAGTGCTCAAGATAGATACCAGTACATTATATTATGAGATGTCCAGTCGAGTGCGACTGGGAAAGTATTGTGCACGGTGCACTTTTGAGCTTCTGTGCGACATACAGTAGCTTTTCGCTGAGTGTGGTTGTTGTCGTGGAAAACACTTTTCTTGAGAAAAGCGGAAGTCGTCACACGAGTCGAAGCTTCCAAGCGAGGGAACTTACGGCCGACTCTGACAATGCAAAAATGTGTATTAATTGTTAAATTTATTACGCAGAGAATACCTGCTCCAAACAGCCGCCCCCGGCAGCCACAAACTGGGATATTTGTCTGTCCCATGTGTCAAAAGGAAGCCGAGTAGTGGTCCTCTTGGATAAGACGAAATCTCGGTTGAACGCCAGCCAAGAACCTTCCCACGTCCTTGGCGGATACACGGCTAGGATTGCATTGACCCTGCCGCATCCGTCAAACTTTGTTGTACGGCGCTAATTATAGAGGACATAACTCCCGGTTTGCTTCCACCATGCAGATCCGTCCTACCCAAAATTAGGCCCGGTTGCCGCCGTCCGAGCTGTCCCGGCCTACTCCTCGTAGGGTGGTTCGATATTCTGTGTTCGGATACATTATCCCACGTGTCCAGCCAGGATTGACACGCGGCGGATATACGATCGGCGTTCCCTGCAATCATTGGCCGCACGCAACACTCAGCACCTTCTAGCAAATGGGAAGCCGAAACTCCCGATCTGCCCTAATCCAAAGCCGGCTGGGAGAGCCGAGCTCAGCCGACATGCCCAAACTACAGCGAAATCTCGGGCCCAGCGCCCCCAACAGTCGTGTTCAAGCTAAGGCAGGAATATTATCTGCGGTCTTCCACGCGGCCAGCTCAGAATTTGATGGCGGCCGACACTGTTGAAAAGGGCGAAGCAGCAAGACGCTGATCAAAAGAGCTGACCCACTGCACTGTGTGTGAGCTGTGTGAAAGTGTGAGCGCCACTGATTTTGATGACACTGCACCTGCCGGAGTCGCCTGAAGAGGGGCGAATCGCTGTACCAGTGATCTATATAGATCACGGTCACGTAGCCAGTGCTGATACTATCTACTAGTCTGACTAGTACAACACATGAACACAAGACCGTGAGCTATGGTTAGCAGTGCATAGCAATTCGCCCACACTAGATTTCGATCCCAAGTTCTCATACTTCTCGCAAAAACAGATTGCAGCTCAATTGAGCACCCTGGCGTGGCCCCAGTCCGCCTGCTCAAAGTTTTCTCCCTCCCTTCTCTCAGCTGCAGACTGCGCAGCAGCACCGCTGAGCTTCACAACTCACCACCAACACCACCTCACTTGCTCGCTCGGCCAGCTGTCGTCTCTCAACATGGCAGTGTCAACCCTCGCTTGTGCCATCAAGATGCCCGCCCTGGCGTCCGGCCTCGCCACCATCTGCAGGTCCAGGCAGTCCACCTCATTTGTGCAAAAGGGTGGCGCAGTCTACGCCAATGCTGCGAGGGGCGCCCGCGTGTCAATGACGACCGATGAGAGGCCGATGTGGCTGCCGGGCGTTGAAGCCCCGCCGTACCTGAACGGCAGCCTGCCCGCGTGAGCATGTGACACTTGGGAGTGTTGCGGAGGCTTTCTTGGATGAACAGTGGGCTCTGAAATCGTTGCAACTGATTGATCTCCAGTGTTGGTCGTTGTGCCCCATGCACTGCTTTGTGGGCCCTAGGGCCAGTTATTGCCCGGGCAGTGCTTTAAACAGCTCGCTAGAAGTCTTCACTTGCGCAATTCCGTCTGCTCCAACAACTTTCGGACCACGTTTCTGTGCCTCTCCGATTTCCTTGAATGTCTAGAACATTGAAATAGAAGGTTCGATCAGCTGAACTCTGTATGATACGAGCCTAACTTTAAACACTTCCAGAGTCTTTCTAATAGGCAGTGCTGGATTTGTACCTGCTGCCAAGCGGTTGCTTCACCGTTAATCAGCTTCATATGCTGTGTGCAACTGATCTAGGACTGGTCAAGCAACCTTTTGCCCCTTCACATGAAGTTCCACATCTTAAAATTTACAGCAAAGACCTCAATGAAAGCCTAGCTCCGTCTTCTTGTTCCCCATCTTCTTCTTTTCCATTCGTCCGGTTCTTTGAATTGGCTTCTGCCTTATGTCGTAACCTCTGACTGCAGACGACTGAACACCATGTACTTGTCGTTCTGCCCTGCAGTGACCGTGGATTCGACCCTCTCAAGCTCGCGGAGGATCCCCGTCTCGCAACCCGCTTTGTGGAGGCTGAGGTTTTCCACGGGCGGCTTGCCATGCTGGCTACCGTCGGCGCCTTCGTGCCAGAGGCGATTGTAAGTAGCAGGAATGAGGCATGAAGCTGGTTACGACGCTTCTTCATCCGAAACTCGCTCCCCCCGAGACAAAGCTCTGGTTCGCAGTTGTACGCATTCTGCCAATTCAGAAGCCACATCAATCTACAAGAAGTTGATCAAGCTGATGACGCCGATTTAGAAGTCAGCTTTGCTGCCTTGCCAGTTGCTGCAGAAGGGAATAGCCCAGAACACCAGTGAGTTTCCTTGGTTGAACAGGTCCTTGATACTCTGGTCTTTCTTTTTTCTTAAAGAAAGACGCGCGTTTCTCTGCAGGGACGCGAGGATTGGTACACTGCCGCGCACAAGGCCATCGACGCTGGAGGCAGCTCCTTCATCCTCGCAATTCCTCCTTTTGCGGTGAGCTCAATTTGGTGACCACACGACAGCTCGACCACTTTCTGCGCCAAAGTCAGAAGCGCCGATCGGAACCTACAAGAAACGTATTTCAATTATGTCGTTGCACATTGTATTGATCTGGGCTGAAAGCAGACTGTTTCTTTTCTTAAAAACGTCCCAGTCGAACTCCGTTTGACTGCTTCCCTGGATGTCCTGATAACGGATTGTTGTTTGTTAGAATAGTCTTTATGGACCCTCATTCTCGCTAGTACCCGCTTCTACTTACGCTCGAAGATCTCTTTGCACCTTGGTGGGCCTGAGAAGTTCGTCACCGCTTACTAATCCAAGCGTCTGCTTGAGTTGCTAGTGACCAAAATAAATCCTGCATATGCTCCATTTTACTTACTAGATGCTGCTGCAATCAAGCTGTGCAAAGGGAAGGGTTTTTGTGTTGAACTGAAATTCATACAACTTGTTGTTTCCTTCCTGCGAACCAAAGCACTGACGACAAGAATGCCGCCTGTCTAAAGTATGCTCTAACCCTATCTCACTTCTCGTTTCATTCCTGTCACCGAAAATCTGCGCCCTGAAACGATGATTGGTAAAGGGCAGCTGACCAGCTTTTACCCCGTTCCGCCCAGTAGAAGCGTTGGCCTCCCACTAAACATGTATGCAGATAGGCTTTTGTTCTGTCTGTTCCCAAGAGCACACTCGTGGAGTGTTCTGGGCACCCGACCTGACACCAATCAAGCTTTCAAAGCTTTGCCTAACCTCAGCTTGTGTTTTGTGTCAGATCCCGACGAGCTATCTGGGCATCGGCCTCTTCCACCTGGTCGCCATTGTGGAGCTCTCCCGCCTTTTCCGGGAGGCCAAGAACGGCTACGACGATGACATCGAGGGGGTCGGTATCTACCCTGGGTTTGACCCCCTGGGCCTGACTACAGGAGAGGACGTGACGGCCGACGAGATCAAAATCCTGAGGGAGAAGGTGAGCACGTATTCTGTTACTGGGAGAGTTTGCCACCGTTTAACCCAAGCTGCAGTCAGGAGTTCAGTGTTAACAAGCCCGTGAACTGGCTGCTCGAATTGCAAGATTGGTCTGGTGCCGATGTTCTACCAGAGCGTCACGTTTCGGGTTGACAAAGCCGCCGTTCAAATGAGGATTGCGAAGAGTCAGAGGCTGTTGCGATCACCTCGCGCGTCTTAGTCTGCAATTGCTTGAGGTACGAGCTGGCCGGCCGTGCGTTGTTCTGGAGACTCACAGAGAGACTGAAGTTAATGGATTCGAAGGCTGGACGTCTTTTCCCCATCATTGCCATCGCCACGAACCTTGGTGACTGCTTCAAGCCGCCGCAAGCCATTTTGCATTTGAAACCGTAAGAGTTATAAACACCGCTGCTTGGAATAGCTTTCTGCACCCCACGCCCGAGTATTCTGAGGCCGGTCCATCTCGCTCGTCGCCGCAGGAGATTAAGAACGGGCGGCTCGCAATGATTGCGGCCGGAGGCTTCCTGCACCAGGCGCTCCACACTGGGAAGGGCCCGTACGCCAACCTGATTGACCACCTGGCCGACCCCTCCCACAACTGGTACTTTGGTAGCTAAACGTTCTGCTCAAATACGGGGTGCTGTCGCTCTTGACCATGTTTGGCTAGGTGCCCCATAACCAGCTTTTGTATGATTGTAGACCGCTTAACCAGGGGCTAAGCAAGCTTGGTTACTTGAGGATTTTCTTTAGCCATGTGACAAGGCGCCTCGAAACGTACATAGCTGCTTTGCGCTCTACATCTTTAGAGAGCGTTTAACCGACTGCACCCAGCAAGAAGGCGTGTTGATGGATTTAGGAGGACGTTACTTTAGTTTGTAAAGTGCTGAACTTGAAGTATCGTTCGCTTGATGTTGTAAATTATGACGACCCACCAGATTATAGCTTAACTATCTCAGCGAAATACTTCAGAAATAGAGAAGTTTGAGTGTTGGGTGCAGCTCTTCGACGGAATATCAACATCTGGATTGCTCATGTTTGAATTAGGCGAATGGAGCTAGCATACTGAGGGCGGGGGGGAGGGCGGGTTTTAAAACGTACTGATTCGGAAGGGCTTGCTTGGCAGAGGCAAGGCCGCCGCTTTTGGTTCTTGCAATCCTTTCAAATGAAACATTTCGCCTCTCAGAAGCGTTTTATAGCTCGCTTCGCTCACTCAACTTTGTCTTGTCGCTCTCAATGAACTCAATTTGTACGTAGACGTCAAAAATCGATCCTTTGCGAGAGCGACATGTTGTGAGTTTCGAGTTCGCTTAAGCTCGCAATCGTATACATGATATATACTATACTATACTACATCGGATCTCATGCGGATCTCATGCATGAGAGAACTGCAGTGTCTGCGTGCAAAGCTGGGGCGCCAATCGAAGGCCCGACTTTGCAAATTGAAGTTGCCAACCTGAGCACCGCGTTGTCCAGGTATGCCTCATCCAGGTGCTTCAAACTGGGATCCTTGCGGCTGACTTGTGACAGGCAGCCGCACTGGAGACTTGCCAATTATTTGCAGAATCTAGTTCTCACCTTCATCATTCTACATGAACATGCTGCAAACCCCTGTCGCGTGTGTACTGGTCAAGTGTTTCACTAGTTCCCGTCATCGACCGCTTTGAGGAGTAGGAGTAGTGAGGCTTGTAGGGGCCTTCAAGTTGAATTGAACTTAGATTGAATCGGTTATTACACGGGCGGCTTGCAGCAGTCTTTTAAGCATAAGGATCAACTAGTACATCATTGCACATGGGCCGAAGAGCCTAAAATCGTGTGCAAAGCGGATTTGTCCTTGACCGCGTCTTGCTACTGTGCTTCTTAAAGTTTCTCGCTGCATAGAATGACGTAGCGATGGCAACCGTGACTATCTTGATCTAGATGATCAACTTCAGTGATTATTGATGCGAGTCCATTTCAGAATGACTGTAAGCCGCGAGTGGACGAAGCATGATAAACTCTCCGCAAAGCCATCTATTGCATTCAGTCCGTGTGCTGCTGGGTTCCGATTGGTAAACCTTCGTCAAGGCCTGTTTGACTATCTGGCTTCTATTGCCTGTATTCAATTGCCTGTCTTATAGAATTAGCGTCAGTGAAAGAATGATGTTCTTCTAGGTTAGACTACGGACGAGATGGACTGGACAGATCTAAGGAGATCAAGTAAGAACGCTAAGGTAAGTTCCTGAGGAAGGGCCTTTTGCTAATCAGATCCCCCTCTTTGGCTTCTATTCAAGCAACGCACAGAAGTTCGCTCTTCAATCTGTTTGCCGGAATGTATGCAACTCCTTGCGTCAAAACTTCGGCTGGGCTTTGATCGTCGTCGACGAGTTGTCGACTACGTCCCGCGAGCTAAATTCTAGAAAGGGCAACTCCGCCCACCAAGAATTGTTTGCTTTCCATTCCCATAACTTAGTCGCTACACTGTTCTACATTCGCTATTCGAGCTCCTCACAAATACCGTGTTCCTAGAAACCCAATAGCTTCCTGCCGCCGGCGGAAACGGTGGACTCCGTCAGCGCGAAGCGCGCGAACTTGCAGTCCGCCGCCATGATGCCGGACGTCTGGTAGTCGTCCTCCTCTCCGTCCACGAAGAAAGGCATCCCGTTGGCGCGCAGCTTCTTGTACTCGGGCCCGTTGGACAGCTTCTGGTACGTCTTGGCGGTCTCCCGGTAGGTCTGGCCCAGCACGCCGTGCACGCTGGGGGTCGCGCTGAGCGTGGAAACCTTGAAGTTGATCTGCGGAGAGGATGGGCGGAAGGTTAGAGAGCTGTTTCTCGGTCTATGTCCTTGCTTCCTGAAGAGTTTGGTGACGGGAACAGTCAAATAGTTTCAAGGGAAACAAGGAATGCAAGCTGAGTTGGTCTAGCGCACGACCTTGGGAAACGTCGCTTGCATGTCATGAGGCAAAGTCGCGATCGCAAAAAGCATTCGCTGGCAGCCTCGTTGTAAAGCTGGCAAATGCTAGAGCATCTGAATAGTACCTTGAAGGCATTAACAAATCTGACGAACGGACTCTTGACAATTGTCAGCTTTTGAGACTTACGAAGTTCTGGCCGGGCCCGTTCTCCCAGAACGCCGCGCGCGCGATGTCGAGGGTGACATCCAGCAAGTCCGCCTTGACCACCCGCACGGACGTCCGGGTGCGCGTAACGCTGAGGCCGTCCGCAAGCGTCATGCTGAAGTCAGACGCGGGCAGCTCGACCCCGTTGACGAGGACCTGGCCCTGGTAGTCCTTCCACCCGGCGGTGTCGGCGGACTTTGCGGCGACGTAGATCTCATCGGTGCCGATGAGCATGCCGATCTCGGAGATGTACTGCGGCGGAGAAAGTAGCCGGTTAAGAAACGGAAGGAACGGAACGGAAAGGAGCGGAAGGAGGATGTGGACAGAGCATGACGGAGCACCTTCTGAAGTAATTCGAACGAACAAGTGTGGCTTAATGCAGACGGCAGAACTTAGAAGCACGGAGTCTGCTCAATAAAACCAGGTAGCACCAGAAGAGAAGCTAATGTGCAAAATTCGAAGTTCTTACAAACTTCAAAGAGCTTCCTAATCAAAAAAACATCCTATTCTCCTTTTGGTTGGATGAAAGAATGGAAGGCAAAACTCACAGTGGTGCCCTCTCTCCGGCCGGCGAAGACGTGCATGTTGATGTGCATCTGCTTATCCGCGATCAGGCAGTAGTCCTTGCCCGCCTCGCCCATGAAGTCGAACTTCTCGCCGTGCTTGCCGATGAAATGGGGGTCTGCAAAAAGAGAGATTCTTCATCAGCATAAAGTTCAGGAGTGCTCATTGTCCTAGGCAGAAAGTGGCAACATGCATCCGTTGTCAACCCGGTCGACTTTTCGGAGTCGACGAGCTTTTTCTGGGTTCTTACAGAAGCCAGATGCTCGTCCGTACACAATCCGGAATCCTAAGCCCCAAGTTTTCATTTCGATGTTCAATTGCATAGAGCGAACTCGGCTTTTCCGTGCGAGATGGCAGGAAGGCGTCCAATGACTCACCCCCCTTCACGGACGTCCCGTTGCTGATGCAGGGCTGCGGGCGCGTGGCAACCGGGGTGGGCGCCGGGGTCATTGTGGGTGCGACAGTCGGGGCAGCCGTGGTCGGGACAGGGGCGCTAGTGGTCGGGACAGGGGCCTTAGTGGTCGGGGCGGGAGTGGTCGGTGCGATAGTGGGGACCGCCGTGGTCGGGACAGGGGCGCTGGTGGTCGGGACAGGGGCCTTGGTGGTCGGGGCGGGAGTGGTCGGAGCAGGGGTATTCGGTGCCGGGGTGGTCGGGGCAGGGGTGGTCGGG